TTATGTGAAAACGAGTTAGCTCAGTTTAAATTTCAAGATTTGCTCTTTATGAATTATTGTCTTCTTTCTTTTGTTAGTTCTCATGCTTATAAAACCATTAACATATGGTTTTTGGTGTCTATGATACTTTCTCAAGGCCAAAATAAAGGAAGCGTTACTTGTTGAAAGACTTACGCGCTATGAAGTTTCCAAAGTTCAGGGACCTGTGGTTAAACCTCATGATCTGACAGGTGAAGAACGGTTCTATATGAAAAAAATGGCTCAGAAAAGGTCCAACTATGTGCCAGTTGGGAGAAGAGGAATATTCGGCGGAGTTATTCTTAATATGCATATGCATTGGAAGAAACACGAAACTGTTAAGGTCATTTGCAAGCCTTGTAAGCCTGGCCAAGTACACGAATATGCAGACGAAATTGCTAGACTGAGTGGTGGGATCCCAGTTCAGATAATTGGCGATGACACTAATATTCTATCGAGGGAAAAACTATGTGCAGCCAGAACTTATGTCTCCGGTAGATACATTGTCCAAGAAAAGGGTGAGTTTTGCTTCTCAATTACCTCTTTAGATCTTCTTCACATGCACACATGCATACATAAACAATTTCTGCTTTTGTACAGTTGGCCAAATTTAACTAGGAACGTAAGAAAACGTTACCCTCACTTGCCCAGTACTTTGCAAGGACAAATTGGAAATAGTGCTCCTTAGCTGTATCTAAAGTAGATTGACTTCGGTTTCTGATTTAATAGCATTTCCCCTCACATTCTTTACGTGCACACATGCTTAATTATTATTTAGCCATGGTGTCCACCATAGCATCCTCGTTATAATCACATTTATGGTGATGTAGCTTTCAGCGAAATGATATCATTGCCATTATGTGTGTGTATTTTGTATTAATTGCCATTATGTATTAAGACAATTTTTTATGGTTATGGTATATGATCCCCCTAAAACGCTCCAAATTCATGAAAATCTTGGAAAAATTTAAACATGCTCATTTCGAGATTTGGCATTCATACTTGAGTGCAGTAACATAGGAAATTGGTCCAGAATTTGTTCTTTTGTACGGTTGTCATGGTGCTTAAAATGTTCTCAATGTGGAATGAAAGTCTTTTTGTCCTGGATTCCTTTCTCTTTAATCCTTTATATTTCCAGTATTTTACAATTGTATGTAAGATGCTATGACTGGCTTCAAGTATCTTAAAGATGTCAGTGGCTTTTATCTTCTTGATGGACTGCTAATATCGATTACGGTTATTTTTATTTATTTCTTGATAATATCGTATTCTTTTTATACGTTTCTGTCATTTGAATTTATGAAGGCTTAGAACTAAGGTAGCGGAGTAGTGTTGCCTTAGTTTAGGTTTTAATCCATTTTGACTTTATTCCTTCTCGTAGCTTGCTATCGCTGACTTCTGTGTATCTTTCTCTTCATGTTTCCTCTTTATAAATTTAGTCGGGACTTACGTTTCTGTCTATATGCAGAGATTTTTAGGCAGGGATTTATTTGCAAGGATTACTTCCCATTACATACGCAGATATGAATGATTGCATATGAAGATTGTTCAACTATGTATTTATTTATTTATTTATACATGTATTGTATTTTATCTTTATTTTTAATTTTCTGATTGCCGAAGGTCTTCTACGGAAGCTACTCTCAACCTGGTGTTGGGGGCAGCCTACTAACCTACCTCCCCTTATCCCATTACATATGGAAATAGGGTTTTTTTGTTGTTGTTGTTGTTGATAATATCGTATTATTGTCATTTTTCCCATTTATTTAGCTTTATTTGTGAATGGGAGGGTGTGGGAAATTTCATTTGGCATCTCTTTGAACTATTATCATCTTTCTTCCTCTGGCAGCTAATAATGATCATGGCGATTTTGTTTTAGCGAGTATGGAGCAGTATATAACAGTCGTCAACTAAACCATCTTTGTCATTTCTTCTCAGGCACTTGAAAAATCAAAATACGAGCAATCACTCGAGTCAGTGAGACACTTCATCGCTATTGCAGAGAAGGAACTGGAGTTGTACTACAGACACGTCGCACTCTATGGTGATCCAAATAACCGGAATCCAATCTCAATCTTGGACAGTCCAACAAAAAACAGCCGGGAAATCAAGGAACCACAAATGCTTGAGAGAGATGGTCATGATTCATCTCTTACTGGCTTCTCTTCAAGTATATCAGATACAGAAGATGATGATCCCATTTATGAAGAACTATCAGAAACTGAAGATGACTCAAAAGGTGATAACCTATCAATGAGAGGATCAGATTCTGAATACGAAGTTTCGTATCTTGATAAAGAAAGTGAAGGAAGCTCATCCGGGTCGCATGTGCATGAGAGTTACGAGGTTGATTTATCTTTAAGTGACTCTTGTTGTGATGAAGATGGTGAAGGAAGTTCAGATACCAAATTGGGTTCATTGAATGTTAGCCAACGATATGATTATAAAGTATTTGATTCCTTGGAGAACAATTAACTCTAAAACCTTGAGGAAATAATATATTTGTCAAAATTCTTCACCCTTTTGTGTTCCTTTTAGTACTAGATCCATTGAAATCCAATATTCATACAGTTAGGGGTGTAAACGATCCGAGTCAAGCTCGAGTATTGTTGAGCTCGACTCGAAAACTCTGAAATGGAGCTCGAGTATTTATAATAAATCATAAGATTTCGAGCGAATGAGGACCTAATTGAATAATGAAATATCTTTGAATATGATCAAATAAGGATTTAGTTTTTTAGAAACGTCAAATAAGGATCTAATGTTTTGATGTCTACTTATATATGATTAAAAAAAATTAAACCCTTATCTGGTCTTTTTAAAAATTTAAACCCTCGTTTAAATATATAAAAAAAATATTAAATATTTATTCGAAAACTTCATTAGCATACGAAATATTAAAAACAACTTTATAAATTATAATATTTAAAATTATTTATTCCTTATTTTTATTCTACATTTTAATATTTTAAAATATATAATTGAAAATCGTGTTTTGCTAAAGGTCATCCGTAAATTTACAGATAAACATGTTTTTAGCAGCATTTTGCCAGTCATATAGCGGCGTTTTATAATTAATCATATATTTTATTTTAGTCAAAGCAAAATAATAAAAAAATAACAGGTGGTTGTATAATTACTCATACAAAATAAAATTATTTTATGCTATTAAATTGATTTCAAATCGAATCAAACATTGCACTTATAAAATTTTAATACTAAAAAGTAAATATAAAAGGGTATATTAAATTGTTCGTGTATAGAAATAAAAAATAAATTTCATAAATAATATATTAAATTATTAAAACCCTTCACTAAAATAGAACAAATACTTTTGAAAAATAAAAAAATAAGAATGTGCAAACAATATGTTTAGACAAAATTTGAGTCTATATTTCAGATTAAATCGAATTTAAATAATCATAAAATATATTAATTTCATGCATATATTTAATTTAACCTCCATCTATGAATACGTTTTTTTTAAGATTACGAGTTCAGATACCTATATAATCATCTATAATTTGAGGGTAAAGTACTTAAATGGTCCCTCGACTACAGAGTATTATTTTATTGAGTCATTCGATTATTAATAGTTATAAAATGATCATCTAACCATAGAAAATTACTTTTTTAAATCCCCGACTAGTAAAAGTTACAAAATGATCACCCGACTATTCATGGTGTTCCAAACTCGTCCTTTTCTGTTAAAAGATTGATGGCAGTTTGAGTTGAACATTAACCTGCAAATTGGGATATGATGGTCAGGTGACTTAAAAAATATTGTTATATAGTTAGAGGACCATTTTGTAACTTTTAATAGTAGAAAGATTCAATAAAGCGACACCTTATAATTGAGGGATCATTTATGTACTTTACCCATATTTAAATAATTGAATCTAAATTTATAAAAAAAAGTTGGAATAAAAATGTTTATGTAGTCCAATCTTTCATTTATTTATTTTATTAAGCTAAAGTGATTATAAAATAAAATTTGTTCTAAATACTCTCAATCATTTGACAATGAACAATCAATCACCATGCAATGGCCACTAGTACTTGAACCCGTGATTTTTAAAAACAATAACGATTCATTTAACCACTTAAGTAAATTGATTTGTGTCTAATCTTTCCTTTAAAGGGTACGGTAAGGAGTCCCAATCCACAACTTCTACAAAACTTAAATTATAATTTACAACTTTAATTATTCAAACTTTTTTCTAACATATAATTTAAAATTATAGTTTATTAATGTTAATTTAATTTTAAAGCAATAAAAATATATGGTTGCAATACCTTTTGTAACGATTGTTAAAGCTTACTAAGAAGCTGATCGGTGTTCAGATGTATAAATGACATTGCTATAATAAATGTTTTAGTTAGATTGTGATGCATCATTTGATGAATAATTTGTAAAACTGGGTTTATTTCATGAATGCTTGATATTGAAATACGCACCTTCTGTTGTTAATATTTGTTCCATTGGATCGCCGGAATTGTCTGTGTTGATTGATTCTTAATTTTGTCGAAGCATCCAGGTTCAACACCAATATCCGATCCAAATGCATGGAAAACTTAGAAAAAATTGAGCATAGCCGTATATGATACGTACTTGTATCCAACACGCACACTTGAGTCTAAGTAGTGCAGAGAATCGTAAACATTAAGCTTTAACTGTGTTTCACGTTATACAGAATTTCAATGATGTCATTTTACTGTATTTGCTAGAATCTGTTTTGTGAAAACGAGTTAGCTCAGTTTAAATTTCGAGATTTGCAATTGTATGAATTATTGTCTTCTTTCTTTTGTTAGTTCTCATGCTTATAAAATCATTAACATATGGTTTTTGGTGTCTATGATACTTTCTCAAGGCCAAAATAAAGGAAGCGTTACTTGTTGAAAGACTTAAGCGCTATGAAGTTTCCAAAGTTCAGGGACCTGTGGTTAAACCTCATGATCTGACAGGTGAAGAACGGTTTTATATGAAAAAAATAGCTCAGAAAAGGTCCAACTATGTGCCAGTTGGGAGAAGAGGAATATTTGGCGGAGTTATTCTTAATATGCATATGCATTGGAAGAAACACGAAACTGTTAAGGTCATTTGCAAGCCTTGTAAGCCTGGCCAAGTAGACGAATATGCAGACGAAATTGCTAGACTGAGTGGTGGGATCCCAGTTCAGATAATTGGTGATGACACTATAATATTCTATCTAGGGAAAAACTATGTGCAGCCAGAACTTATGTCTCCGGTAGATACATTGTCCAAGAAAAGGGTGAGTTTTGCTTCTCAATTCCCTCTTTAGATCTTCTCATGCATACTTAAACAATTTATGCTTTTGTACAGTTGGCCAAATTTAACTAGGAACGTAAGAAAACGTTACCCTCAATTGCCCAGTACTTTGTAAGGACAAATTGGATATAGTGCTCCTTAGCTGTATCTAAAGTAGATAGACTTCGGTTTCTATTTTAATAGCATTTCCCCTCACATTCTTTACGTGCACACATGCATAATCATTATTTAGCCATGGTGTCCACCATAGCATCCTCGTTACAATCACATTTATTGTGATGTAGCTTTCAGCGAAATGATATCATTGCCATTATGTGTGTGTATTTTGTATTAATTGCCATTATGTATTAAGACAATTTTTGATGGTTATGGTATATGATCCCCCTAAAACGCTCCAAATTCATGAAAATCTTGGAAAATTTTAAACATGCTCATTTCGAGATTTGGCATTCATACTTGAGTGCAGTAACATAGGAAATTGGTCCAGAATTTGTTCTTTTGTACGGGTGTCATGGTGCTTAAAATATTCTCAATGTGGAATGAAAGTCTTTTTGTCCTGGATTCCTTTCTCTTTAATCCTTTATATTTCCAGTATTTTACAATTGTATGTAAGATACTATGACTGGCTTCAAGTATCTTAAAGATGTCAGTGGCTTTTATCTTCTTGATGGACTGCTAATATCGATTACGTTTATTTTTATTTATTTCTTGATAGTATCGTATTATTGTCATTTTTCCCATTTATTTAGCTTTATTTGTGAATGGGAGGGTGTGGGAAATTTCATTTGGCATCTCTTTGAACTATTGTCATCTTTCTTTCTCTGGCAGCTAATAATGATCATGGTGATTTTGTTTTAGCGAGTATGGAGCAGTATATAACAGTCGTCAACTAAACCATCTTTGTCATTTCTTCTCAGGCACTTGAAAAATCAAAATACGAGCAATCACTCGAGTCAGTGAGACACTTCATCGCTATTGCAGAGAAGGAACTGGAGTTGTACTACAGACACGTCGCACTCTATGGTGATCCAAATAACCGGAATCCAATCTCAATCTTGGACAGTCCAACAAAAAACACCCTGGAAATCAAGGAACCACAAATGCTTGAGAGAGATGGTCATGATTCATCTCTTACTGGCTTCTCTTCAAGTATATCAGATTCAGAAGATGATGATCCCATTTATGAAGAACTATCAGAAACTGAAGATGACTCAAAAGGTGATAACCTATCAATGAGAGGATCAGATTCTGAATACGAAGTTTCGTATCTTGATAAAGAAAGTGAAGGAAGCTCATCCGGGTCGCATGTGCATGAGAGTTACGAGGTTGATTTATCTTTAAGTGACTCTTGTTGTGATGAAGATGGTGAAGGAAGTTCAGATACCAAATTGGGTTCATTGAATGTTAGCCAACGATATGATTATAAAGTATTTGATTCCTTGGAGAACAATTAACTCTAAAACCTTGAGGAAATAATATATTTGTCAAAATTCTTCACCCTTTTGTGTTCCTTTTAGTACAAATCTAGTCGCTAGATCCATTGAAATCCAATATTCATACAGTTAGGGGTGTAAACGATCTGAGTCAAGCTCGAGTATTGTTGAGCTCGACTCGAAAACTCTGAAATGGAGCTCGAGTATTTATAATAAATCATAAGATTTCGAGCGAATGAGGACCTAATTGAATAATGAAATATCTTTGAATATGATCAAAATAATATATTAAATTATTAAAACCCTTCACTAAAATAGAACAAATACTTTTGAAAAAAAAAATAAGAATGTGCAAACAATATGTTTAGACAAAATTTGAGTCTATTAAATCGAATTTAAATAATCATAAAATATATTAATTTCATGCATATATTTAATTTTACCTCCATCTATGAATACTTTTTTTTTAAGATTACGAGTTTAGATACCTATATAATCATCTATAATTTGAGGGTAAAGTACTTAAATGGTCCCTTGACTATAGAGTATTATTTTATTGAGTCCTTCGATTATTAATAGTTATAAAATGATCATCTAACCATAGAACATTGCTTTTTTAAATCCCCGACTAGTAAAAGTTACAAAATGATCACCCGACTATTCATGTTGTTCCAAACTCGTCATTTTCTGTTAAAAGATTGATGGCAGTTTGAGTTGAACATTAACCTGCAAATTGGGATATGATGGTCAGGGGACTTAAAAAAACATTGTTATATAGTTAGAAAATCATTTTGTAACTTTTAATAGTAGAAAGATTCAATAAAGCAACACCTTATAATTGAGGGACCATTTATATACTTTACCCATATTTTAATAATTGAATCTAAAATTATAAAAAAAAGTTGGAATAAAAATGTTTACCTAGTCCAATCTTTCATTTATTTATTTTATTAAACTAAAGTGATTATAAAGTAATATTTGTTATAAATACTCTCAACCATTTGATAATGAACAATCAATCACCCTGCAGCAGCTGCTGTTGCTTGAATTCGTGATCTCTAAGAATAAACGATTCATTTAACCACTGAGGTAAGTTGATTTGTGCCTAATATTTCCTTTAAAAGATAGGGTAAGGAGTCCCAATCCACAACTTCTACAAAACTTAAATTATAATTTATAACTTTAATTATTCAATCTTTTTTTTCTAACATATAATTTAAAATTATAGTTGATTAATGTTAATTTAATTATAAAGCAATAAAAATATATGGTTGCAATAATACAAAATGATGGAAAATGATTACCGATATATACTACGGATTGAATCGAGTCAAGTTTGAATAAAAATAGTTAATTGCATCATATGCCCTTTAACTATGACTCATTTTAAATTAGTCTTTAAATTTTTTAATATTCTCATTTCATCCTTAAATTATAACTCTCTTTCTAAACCAATCATCAAACTTTTGGACATGTCAATTTCATCCAACAACTATAACCCTCATTCTAAAATACTCTTCAATTTTTTTCAACATTCCAATTTCATCGTATACCATCGATATATACTAATCGCATCCCTTGTCAATAAAAAATATTAGGCCAATATGTATTATTATATGTTAAAAAATGTTAACTTATGGTTGAAACTAATTACATTTTTGGATGGATTTAGGGATGTTTGAGGATTCAAAAGTTTGAGGACCAATTTAAAATAAGGATCATATTTTGATGATGAAATTGAAAAGTTCAAAAATTTAAGGATTGATTTAGAATGATAGTTATATTTTAGGGATGAAATTAGAATATCAAAAATTTGAGAACCAATTTAGAATGAAAGTCATAGTTAAAGAACATGTGATACAATTAACTCTAATATATATATATATATATATATATATATATACATACAATTTAAAACAAGGAGCGATCCATTTATATTAAGGCATACCGAAAAATGTATTTATCGTTTGATTAAATAGTCATTTTGACATTTAATTTTTAAAGTATTTTGCTCCATAGCATTTTATTTTAAGAAGAAGAAAAAACCCTAATATTTGACTAAATTATCACATTGCCCCCTATTTTGTATCATTTTGTCCTACAACATTTCATTTTATGAAAGAAGACACGTATCTTGGACCGTTGCCTGTTTGTTGACTAAGATTTCCATCAACGAATGGACTTTTTATCCCAATATAAAACATTAGGATCAAAATGTTCAAAAATAACAAGAGTCGAAATAACTATTTAGCATAACATTATGAGTATTTTTTGTCATTATACTCTTATATTAAATGTAAAATAGCGAGCATTGCTTAGGAGGAGCTCCAATTTTTAGGTTTAAATCTTTAATAGGTCCATGTTCTTTTAAAATTAAGTAATTTGGTCCCTCTCGATGTTTAATCCTAGCTAAATTCATAGTATAAAATTAAGTTAATTTTATACATTTCTACAAGCTTTGTTGACGATTAATATTTTGACATCCAAATCATTAAATTAGTTATGATGTTAACACCTTGAGAAAAAACAATATCATTTTGAGATAAAAGTATTTTTTTATATTAATGTTCGTTTAAATGTAAAATTTTTAAAAATAATACTTATATCATTGAGGCGATTATAATGTAATATATATTCAAAAAAAATTATTAATTATTGATAACGTATATATATATTGTAAACGCAACTATTTAAACTCAAATTATTTAAAAAAATAACAATTTTTTTTATCACCGACTAAATTTGATTAATTATACTTTATAAAATATATTTAAAATAAATATTTTAATTTCTCACCATATATTTTGACAAAAACATTCAAGACAGTAAACTGACATTGATTGGAAAAGACGAGCAAATTGTTGTTGCTTGCCGATAGGAGACATTGAAACTTCAACTACTACAAGAAGGTATAATACCAAAAATAACCCCAATATTTATCAAAATGATCATTTGACCCCTATTCTTTTTTTTATTTGAAGCATTTTGGATCCTAACATTTCACTCTCGGGCAAAAAGCTCTATCATATATAAAAATCATTAGTTATCACACGATTAACGTTTTAAAACAGGAGCCTTTTTAACCTAAAATTAAACGTTGAGGGTTAAAATGGCCAAAAGAATAAAAGATAAAGTGATTAACCTATCAAATGTTAGGGGTCTTTTTGCCCTAAAATAAAACGTTTGTGACAAAATACTCTAAAAAATAAACCAAGAGACAAATGATCATTTTTTATAAACGTCGAGAGCCAATTTTAACATTATACCTTACAAGAAATGAACATAACCAAAAAAGCATAATGACTTCTCAATTGGGTAATAAACTGAAAATTAAAATTTTGTAATTCTATAAAAAAATCATAATTATTCTTCTTATTTGCATATATCTATAAAAATCATAATTACTATATTAAAAACTTACACATAATGTAATTTTTAATTTTGAAATGTTCGACCATTATTACATATAAATTCTTTTAATTAAATATTGAAATATTTAAAAATTAGTAATTAAAATGATCAATAAAATAAATAAGATTCATATTATTAGAAAGTATTAATATATTAAAAATTGGCATCGTTGTTAATTAATAGTCGCTGACTAAAATAAAATTATATAATATTAATAATATTTTTTATTTATAAAAACCACTAATTTTATTAAAAAATAAATTATCTTGAATTACAATGAAAATTTACAATTTTAATAGTAAATTAAGCACATAATTAGGATATTTTCCTAAAATTATCGACACAAAATTAGCAACTTAAGACCAATTAAGGATCATATAAGGAAAGATTAAAATACATAACCGGAACTCGAACAATGATAGATACAAACAGATCTGATTGCATCAACAAACAAATTGCAAATTGATCAAGCTATCGAAAGAAAAAATTAGTTGACCCTTATTCCCATATATAATGGGGTAAGAGGGAGGTAGGATAGTAGGCTGCCCCCAACGCCAGGTTGAGAGCAACTTCCGTGGAAGACCTCCAAATTATGAATTGCCCACCGTGGGACTCGATCCCACGATCTCAAGCTATCGAAAGACCACCGACAAAATCGCAAATTAGAGTCCAGCGACGTGAAAAAACTATCCACGAATACATACAAAGTATCCAAGTCCAATCCAAGAGTCCAAAAATAGGAAAGATCAACATGATAACAAATAAACGTCATCTTGATCAGTTGTGGTGATGTCGAATCAACCCTTAAAAAAGATAAATGAAAAATAACACCAAACGACTGGAAATGTGCCAAAAGGCAGGAAAAAATGTGCCACAAAACATATGAAAACATGCAATAAAGATAAACTTATTGAAAATTAAAAACAAGAAAAAATAAAGATACAATATAAAAAAAAAAATACCGACGATCGGCAATTAACATAAAGATTGATGCCGCCGCCACCGATCAATAAAGATGAAAAGAAAGAAAAAATTATTGATTGAAATATAGAAACACTATTAATTTGATGAGTAATAATATAGTTTACCCTATGTTTTTTTATTAATAATTTACCCTTATTTTTTAATCAAATAACAGGATCTACGCATGGGATCATGCGTTTTAATTATATTATATTTTAAATATAAAAAATATAAAATAAAAGAAACTAAAGAAGGAATAAATAATTTAGGTGTCGTAAAGTTGTTTTCAATATTTCATATACTAATGAAGTATTCCTATAAAATAGAAGGAAAGCATGCCACGTCACGTGATAATTGATTCACATTATGTGATTATTATTGCTTACATTTCACTCTAACTTTGGTCTCCCGATTCTAATTTGACTATTAAAATTATAAAATTATCTTCCGATTATAGAGTGTTATTTTTTAAGTCACTCGATTATCAAAAGTTATAAAATGATCTCTAAACTATTCATTATGTTTCAAACTCATCATTTTTCGTTAAAAAAACGAAAAATGATGGTATTTTAAGCAGAACGTTAATTTACTAACTATGATATGAAATCTGACCCTAGAATCTCAAACGACTATCACATCCCAATCATCATGTTAACGTCAAACTTAGACAACCACCACCTTTTTTTAACGGAGAAGGACGAGTTTTGAACATAATGAATAATCGGGTGACCATTTTATAACTTTTGACAGTTAATTGACTTAACAAAGCAATACTCTATAATTAAAAAATCATTTTGTAACTTTTAATAGTCGATGGACTTAAACAAGTAATACCCTATAACCGGGGAACATTTGTATACTTTACTCTTAAATTTATAAATTTTAAAATTCTTGGATAACATAGAAAAGTAATATTTCGTGTTTAAATTCAACTAAATCTGTAATTTATGAGGTTTTTTTATCATGCAACAAAGATAAAAACCTAAAAGTTAATAGCAATCTCTCAGTTAAATTACGAGACTACGAGACGATCATTTCAATCTAATTGCTCCATTCACAATATTAGAGTAAGTTCTAAAATTTATACTTTTTGAGATAGAAAATATTAAGTGTTTAAATTTATTTCAATCTATAATTTATGTGTTTTTAAAAATGCTAATATAACAAAAAAGATGGTAATGATCAATTAATTAATATTTTACTGTTAATTTTTTAAAATATTGGTTAAAGATATAATTTATCTTATTATATTGTTTATAAAATTTTAAAATTTTACTAAAGCAGTAAATAATACATTAATTTGTCATTAATGTTCCTAAAAGTTCTTATAGAATGTGAATACGAGTACAATTAAATATGAGTTTGAGAGTTTACATAAGGGACTAAACTCCTCAAAATCAAAATAAAAAGACTTAATTATGAATATACAAAAAGTATGGAAGTTAAAGTGTAATTTAACCTCTATTAAATAATGATATGGATATTTGGATAAATAAGAGAAGACGATATATAATATATTTAAAACTCGATCGCACAGTTCCTTATTCTGTTAACAAAATCAAAATTTCGGGTTTTACTCCATTATTTTTCCCTATATAAACAGCCCTTCATTCGTCTACCTCCTCCCCTCTTGTACCCTATTCTCTCATTCTTTCTCTGTTCCTCGATCGAAGTCTTCTTTTTGTTCGAAGATATGGCAGCCAATGGCGTTGTTTCCGGCAAGAGCTTGATCGTCAGCTTCGGTGAGATGCTGATAGACTTTGTCCCCACCGTCTCCGGCGTTTCTCTAGCCGAAGCACCCGGATTCCTCAAAGCTCCTGGCGGAGCCCCCGCTAACGTTGCCATCGCTGTCGCTAGACTCGGCGGCAAGGCGTCCTTCGTCGGGAAACTCGGAGACGACGAGTTCGGGCGTATGCTGGCGGATATTCTCAAGCAAAACGGAGTCTCCGACGACGGGATCTTGTTTGACCAGGGCGCTAGAACCGCTCTCGCCTTTGTTACGCTACGCGCCGACGGAGAGCGTGAGTTCATGTTCTACAGGAATCCCAGCGCCGACATGCTGTTGAAGCCGGAGGAATTGAACCTTGATCTCATCAGATCAGTGAGTACTTTTATCGTTTTTTTACTTCTAATTGACGAATCTGTTGGTTTCTTCTCCTCTTGAATCTTTGTTTGGTTTGCCGCGCTTTTCAATTGTTCTTTCGTCTATGTTGACTTTAGAGCCAAACACAACCAGTGTTTCTCACGCGCCGTAGTGTGAGCGTAGCCTTTTTCCTTAGACTCACACACATAGTATCTAAGCTCTGAAAATTGTCCTTTTCATTTTAATTTTTCATAATTTATGGCTTTGATATTGTCACCTGCCATCTATGTAAATTGAAAAGCTACTTTAGTGTGGATCCAAATCACGTGCTTCCCTTTGGTGACAATTGCCGTGAAAATTCCAAATGAACCCAAGAGGTTTTTATTTACTTTTTTTCATTTTTGGGGTTTTTTAAATATAAAAATTGCTTAAACTATACAATTACTAGTGTTTTAAATTTTAGCAAATTATTGAAAATTATAGAATTAGTATAATGCTGTCGGTTGGTGTACGGTAGATGTGATTTGATGAGTGAAGTATAAGTGAAGAAATACAATTAGCTTACCAAACAATCTCTATATATATCTAATTTTTAACCTATTTTCTTTATACTTTTAATTGAATTTTTAATTTATATTTCATTTTTCTTTTCATGCAGGCCAAAGTGTTTCATTATGGATCGATAAGTTTGATAGTGGAACCATGCAGATCATCTCATTTGAAGGCAATGGAAGTGGCCAAAGAGGCTGGCGCATTGCTCTCTTATGACCCTAACCTTCGTCTTCCACTTTGGCCTTCGGCTGATGAAGCCAGGAAACAGATTTTGTCCATCTGGGATAAGGCTGATATCGTCAAGGTCAGCGACGTCGAGCTCGAGTTCCTCACCGGCAGCGACAAGGTAGACGACGAAACCGCCATGAAACTCTGGCGCCCCAATTTCACCCTGCTCCTGGTCACCCTCGGTGAAAAGGGTAGCCGATACTACACCAAGGTATGCTAAATTCAACTTATTTCCAAGAACCATAAATTTTGACTCTTAGCACGTAGCAGTGCCTGTCATGGTAGGTGGTGCATTTATTTTTATTGCAGATAATGACTTGTAGGTGGAGTTTTTCACAGGGGTTTCAATTCCCTGTGCTGGATTTGACTCAGATTGCCGAATTAGATATACTTTCTTATATTAATCTTTGAATATATTCTATATAATATAATTAATTATACATATTTGGTCCATTACATTGGAATTATGTCCTTTGAGTAATACCAACGGCTAAAGCAATTTACAAAGTGAAGCTCTGGGGCCATATTTTGCAACTTGGAGTTGTTTTTTTCTTTATTATTATAAAGAGTTGGTGGACGGGGGTAGGTGGTTTCTTCAACCTGAACTCAAATACTGTGCACCTTTTATTATATCTAATTCCATAAAAACAATGGGTCCCAATGTTACATTTCGATGCTTTTTAGGTATATACAGTGGGACAAAACTATATTGGCTTATGTTCTGTTTGTGATTGAACAAATATCAGAAATTCCATGGGGCAGTCGATGCATTCCATGTAAACACCGTGGATACAACCGGCGCCGGCGACTCTTTCATCGGGGCTCTGCTATCGAAGATCGTCGACGAGCCCTCAATTCTCGAGGACGAATCTAAGTTGAGGCAAGTGTTGAGATTTGCAAATGCATGTGGAGCCATCACTACGACCAAGAAGGGAGCCATCCCGGCACTGCCTACTGAAGCCGATGCACTAGCCTTAATCAATGGAGCTTAGCCTCTAAGCAAGTTTACATTGTTTTTTATCTTCCTTTTTTTTTCACCCACATTTCGATGAGTTTTCAATTTATTTCCCTTTTATTATGCAACCTGTGGTTTTCCTTATTTCCTTGCGGTGTAATGGTGGGAACGCTTTTGTTGTTTTAATATATTAGGAAGAAAGTTTGTTTCCCTAAACCCTAAACCATAAAACTCACATGAAACGCTCATACCTAACTACTGCCATCAATTGTTCCGCCCTCCATTCTAGAGATGAAAGAAAACGTAACCGATGAAAATTGGACAATTCCTAATAGGTATACCATACCGGAAGATTATATAGCTAGAAATAAATGTAATATAAAGAGATAGATGTGAAAGAACAAATGTTGTCCTGTCTAACAACGGATTGCAACCAAAAGTTTTTGAACCGGAAGCAAAAGGCCCATCAATACCTGGCCCTAAGGACCTTTAACTCCTAATCATTTGATGCGGTTGAGCTGACATCTGATGATGGACCATCTTTCCGGTTTGGTGAAAGCATAGATGCTCTAACTCTCATCTCTCTTGTCTGCTGTTGCTGCTCCTGATGATGTTGTTGTTGCAGTTGTAGCTGTTGAAGTTGATGCAGTAGATGTGGTGGGATCTGATGCTGCTGATGTTTTTGAGACTGAATCTGAAGTTGCTGCAATTGCTGCGCCGTTAGAAGAGACTGCATAGCATGATTATTCGGGTAGTGTTGCTGACTACCTCCCAAAGATGCATAGTTCATCCTTGGTCCACCATTTGACATGGATTGAGAAGTCAGCACTTTTAGACGCTGGATTTCTTCTTTCAGTGCACCATTCAATGCTATCAGGTAACAAGAAAAAAAGGATAAAGCATCATTAATGAAGGCAACAATAAACGCATCTCGAGCTTTAGTGAGGTGCTCAAGGTAAAACGAGCGGCACTTTATTCCCAAACTAATATGCAAGCCAAAAGTTGAAAAAACTACGTTAAGAACCATTCAAGTACATTGTAATAACATCTTTTCCTATACACATAAGACGTGTCGGAGGTACTGTTAAGTGTAAAATGCACGGAAGGTGTGTCTATACAAAGAACACACATCCAGCATATTGAAGTTCCAGTCTATTTTATCTCTCTCTGATTGCCATCCAACCAAGTTCTCACACGCAAAATCTTTCAAACTTTTTCCCGTTAAGGTGAAGAGGTAATAGACAAAAATAATAAGAAAATGCAATACGTCAAAGCTATTGTTATTCGAATGAAGTATATCAAGAGGTGCTCACAATCTTGCAAGTAAACCTGTTGCTCCATTGTTTGCAACCGCAGCTTCAACTCACTATTTTCAGCAGTCAGGCCAGTGGAGTCTCTCTGCTCATAAGTTACCATGGGAAAAGTCAAATGAACCATATTAGATCTAAATAAAAATGAACACATAAACATTGAAATACAAACACAAGAAAAGAAGGCACAAAGCCGATGCAAATACCTGTAATAGAGTCAGCTGAGCAGAGAGTGTGGTTGCTTCTGTTTCAAGTGTTTGTATTTTCCGCTCAAGCTCAGCTATATATCGTATCTTTCTTTCCTTTGACCTTGCAGCAGACTGCCTATTTGCCCAGATCCTATCACATGGCATACAAAATAAAGGTGGTGCCAAAGAAAAACATATCAGGATAACATAAATTCCAGTTTTAGAAGCGACGAAATCCGAAGAAAGACAAAGATTCCTTAAATGAAAGGGAAAGAAAAGGAACAGAAGGAGAATCATCAAAAGACACAAACATGGGGAGATAAAAGAAATCAACTATAACATAAGCATCTGCACTAGCTTCAAACTAAAACATATTTTCATAGTCTCAGCTACCATATCTTTATTGAACTGGTTTCAACCAGGCAGCAAGCCACTCAATGCTCGAGTTCAATCCGACGATAAAAGACATTATTATATGGAGTAAGTTCAAAAACAAGTAACACATCCATATTTACTCTACATTCAGTCATGACTTGCGACCAAACTCATTAAGACGAAACTTGTCGTATTTAAAACAATTGAAGGAAACAATCCTAACCTACAAATAGCAAAAATCCACAAACGTTCCATATAAAACATGAACCTTTTATGTCAATTCATATAGAAAAATGGTAAGGCAGTAAAACTCCATTCAGTTAGCAATCTAAGAATTTGAAATGACAAGATAACAAAAAGAAAACACCTCTTAGCTCGCTTAGGGTCAACAAGAGCAAGCTCAGCAAGCTTAGCGGCGGACATTGCTTTCTTAGACTCAGCCGGCGAAGCCTCCGCCAGACCAGACACAAGCATTTCCGGCTTAATGCTTGTCGACCCATCCATCGACAGGCTATGTTGGTGCCTACTTCTAGGCTTCCTAGAAGACCCAACACCATTACTCGCATTTTCCTCACCCGACGTCCACGTCCCTCCTCCCGTACCCGCCGCAGCCGACGGAGCCGCCGTTGCTGAAAACATACCGACCTGAGACGACAAGATGACAGAAGAAGAATTGAACTTGTTTATATCAAGATACGTAGACAAAATTTCCTCCTCCGTTTCGTCGGACGAATGCCCGTCTGTTGCGGTTGGCCCCGAAAAAACGCCGAGATCACTGTCGAAGTTGAGATCATCCGGGAGAGTTATGATTTCGGAATGGGCACGACGGTGGCCTAAGTTTTTCGGTGGATTATCAGGCATTTTGCTTATGTCGTGACTGAAACGATTCGAATCCGAAGTTTGACCGGAATTCGCCGGTTCGGGTTTCGCATTTGAAGTGTTCGTAGCATTTACGGCAGATGATAACCCCGAAACTCTACCTGCCGTCGGCGGTAAGCCTGGTAATTTGTCCTTCTCCATTTTAATATATAAAACTATAAAAAATTCGAAAAACAACAACAAAAACGACTTTTACGAAGGAATTACGTAAAAAAAACCAAAATTGGAAATGGAAACTGAGAATTCGGTAAAGGAAATGGAAAATAATGGCAAATGAAGAATATTTTCCGGGAAAATGAAAAGGGTTTTCGGGGACAGGAAAATCGACACAATTTCTTCAAATTAAACAATGGAGAAGAAAAAACGAAAGGAGATCACTAAGAAAAGGTAAAAAAAAAAGAAACGGTAAGAAGAGAAGGGAATTGGAGAGGATGAATCGAAGAAAGGCATTGATTGATTACATGAACGAGGAGAATGTCATCGAACCAGAGAAAATCACATGGTGGGAATTGGGAGATGAAAGGAAAATAACAACATTTCCTGCGAATGGACAAAATTTGACACTGTATTTTACTATTGGGTAAACTATACATTTAATACTACAACTACTATTTGTATTCCGTTTCGATACTTAAATTTTATATTTTCAAAACAATATCAAACGTTTTGTTGATATTAATGTGACATCATAAGATAATTTCATATCAATATTTAAAAAATAATAAAAATAAAACTCCAGTAATTCTGTTATTTTTTAAGACAAGTACCAAAATGAAATATAAACTAAATATTAGGTATAATTTCAAAAAAATAAAGTTTGGATTCCAAAAAGGAACGAAAGTAATAATTTACGTACTAAACATGTAGTTTAACCTATAAATAATGATAAAATTAAAACTATAAAAATTACCACTTAATTATAGGTTAAGTATAGGGTTGATATCGATATAACCATCATGCTTTTAATTTTGACAATATAACCACATAATTATTTAAGTGGTTTGCATGTAGCCACTTGTCGATAAAAAAAGATGATTTAACTGATATGATTATTATTAACTAATGGCTAATAAGATGCTCACATCAATTAAACTATCCATTTTTAACGATACATGATTAACATTCAAATCACTTGAATAGTTATGAGATAGTATTGTCAAAACTAAAAATATAATGGTCATATCGACACCAATACTATAATCAAGCGGTGTAACTAGACAAATATATCAACCGAAAACATAAGATATCGAAGTTTGTCCAACTTAATCTTGTATATACACGTTTAAACACCGAAAACATAAGATGTTGAAGTTTGTCGAGTATCAAGTAGCTCGCTACAGCTCGTTGACAATTCGAGTTGAGTCCATTTGATTCGAGTGTTGACCAAATTGATCTCAAGTGGCTTGCGATTTGTCTCGTCTCATATACAACCCTAATTGGGTCTTAATATTTGTTTGGTTCCTTTTCCAGTATAATTGTATCAGCTTGGTCTTAGCATTGCTGCCATTGCTGCCATTGCTGCAGCACTCTCTCAGAAGGATTTTGTTGCTTCTGTGCTATATTGTCTTGCACTCATGGCACTGGCACTGGCACTGGCACATATAGAAGAGCCTTATAGAAGTGTAGACTATTTGTAAGGTTCCACATCGAAGATAACTTTTCAAGAGGACTTCAAGTTGCGTTCCTATTTTCTAGCTTAACCATTAAACTGAACATTTTTTCACCCTTACCCTTTCCCTAGTACCAAGAAGAGCCTTAGTGAAAGTAATCCAACTGTATCAAATAAATCAACATGAAAATTCAATGCATCCACTTAAAAATTTATTTGTTCTATGTAAGATGTTTATTTGTTGATTTATTCAGGACTAGAATTTTAATATGGATCTTCTTATGCTATTATGTTTACCAGATGAGCGCATATTTTGCTCCTGCCTCTTTCAGCTATCTGTTGGGTAAATGGTTGAAGAATAAAAAATCCACAACTCGAGATGACAAAACTGGGATTTATGGTTGTAGGAACGTTTGCTGTTGTCTGGTGGCCATATCCTGAGTCAGAAGAGGCTGCTTTGGCTGTAAGTTCTACAATGAACTCCTTTCTCTTTTTCAATTGAGATTGGAATTCAAGGCAATAAGCAACCAATGGCATTGACCTCTTCTTAAGATTCACCAATTAAAGTATCCCATATTGTAATAATCTTGTCTGGAGAGCATAATTGCTTGAGGACTGTATGGGACTTATGGATCATTCCCATCACAATGGATAGTAAAAAATTCTAAAATCCAGTATTTTTTTTTATATTTCTTTTTACCAGAGGTGATTCATCATACTTATGGTTTGAATACCAAGTTACCAGCTTTGTGACTTTCTCTAATATGATTGCTCTTTGCAGGTTTTATCTCGTCTTGCTCCATTTGAGAGAGGGGTATACGAGGATCACGTGGCTAATTTTTGGTGCACCAGTTCGGTGCTCGTGAAATGGAAAAACTTATGTAGTGCACAATCAATCATTAAGGATTCTTAGCCTTGCTGCAACCCTTTTAACATGTCTACCCTCAATGGTTCAACAAGTACTTGCTCCGAGCAGTAAGGGATTTCTACATTCGTTGCTTAACAGTTCTTTCTCGTTCTACCTGTTCTCATTCCAAGGTATGTGTTTCCTTTCCATCTTCAACCTTTTGCCCCTCTTATAACAGTTCTCAGCATAATTTCTTGTCATTTAAAAGAGGAAGCATAGAGAACATGGCAAAGTGTATTTCTTCTATTGCTTTTCACCCACTTGTAATGGGCTTTCTGGGTTTGTGCTCTCTGATTATGCATGCTATTTATCTCACCATGCATCCTCCGAACAAGTATCCCTTCCTTTTCGAAGCAGTGATCATGCTTATCTGCTTCTCTCAGTTCGTTTTATTCACTCTTTACTTCAATTCGAAGCAGTGGATGCAGTTCGTTTTATTCACTCTCTACTTCAATTCGAAGCAGTGGATGCTGTCAAACATCAAACATCAAAAGATAAAGAAAAGCTCATTTGAATATAAACTAACATTTTCATCATGATGACAATTTACATGATATATGATGTAGCAGCAAACTGATCCGTAAGTACTTGGTTGAGGGTTGCTTCTTGCACGCATGTATGTAAATGTATGTTTCTTGATGAATATGTTTTTGCATAATTGGAACTTATGTTTATCTCTTACTAGTTGTTTTCTAGTTAAGCCGGTACCGACATGATGTATCCGAATAAGGGCAATGAAAGGTATATTGAAAAAGCATTTGCAGCCTTATCACTCCTTAACCTTGTAGGGTTTCTATCAAACAAAAGCACCAACATCTCATTAATCATCCAAAAGTGCACACATCATCCTCTAAACACCAAAAATATAAATCCATTACAGAAGAAAATGATGAGTTTGAATGTAAAATGACATGAAATACAATAAAACCTAAAATCAAAATCTAGCCTTTTTAGCCTAGAAGTTGAATGATAGACTTGATGCAACCCTATTTTTCACAGGTCTTGGACACTCAAACCTGCAAAAAAATGTGAGGTTATGATCAAAACTCATTGCCGAGATCGTTATGTTATCGACTTTGACAATATAATAAACAACACTAAGATCAACTGTATTGCTGCTAGCTATGGAAACTACAACACATTTCAACTACATTATGAGATAAACAATGATTCGTTTTATCTACAATTCTATGTCATGGCAGGTCATTTTAAAACAAAGGGAAAAAAAGGCTACTATATTCATACATATCAATCTACCTGGAGGAAGGGACTGCTTCAACTTGTCGGCCTTTTCGGCATCAGACACGCAGAGCGTGTACAAGTACTTGGAGCATCGGACCTTGAACTTAACTACATCTCTGCTCTTCTTGATCTTTACCGAGCGTGCATCTTTCCTCCTGGCAGTGAGAAGGAAGTCCTTAATCTCATGAATTTGCTTCGGCTGTGTGCATCATAACATGTAAATCAGAGACCATAACCATAAACACAGAAAGTTGACATCTATATTGCTCCAACTCTACATTGTCTAAAAGTGTCCATGACCAAACATGTGCATGGAAATACAAGACTCAAAATACATGGAAAACTTGAAAAAAAATGAAAAGACCAACAACGTAAAACAGCCTTTATTCAGCTTACACCCGATTCCGAGTAACATAAGGTGATACTAACAAGCAAAAAAACAACTCAATGCACAAGGCAAAAGCACAAATTGATACTACAGCAATTCAAGAATAACATATTCTTTACCAATAACAACATGATCAGATGCTTTGTAATGTAGTGGCATTAGAAGATCATTGATTATTGAAGCTCTTTTATACAGAATTCATTATCCTACCACATTTATAACCTTGAAACAATGGGGACTTCTCATACGCAAACATCATAATTAACAAATCAAGCACCATGCATTTCATTCCAACTGAATTAAACATCTATGTCGACTAATGATACTATAATCCAATATTAAGCAAATCAAACAGATGTTGCTAAACACGAAAAACCCATCAATGGAGAAGTGCTAATTATCATGATTGTACATTCTCTAGAAACAAAAGTAACCCATTACATCTTCCATTTTCTCCTCTTAAAACACATAAACAAAAGTAACCCATTCTCCATCTGTCTTGATAAACACCATTTGGAAGTTTTCAAGGTTGAAAATTGGAAGAAAAAAAAGGAACAGGGAAGCCAGAAACACACACATATATACAATCGGCGTTAAACGTAAGGAGGAGGAAACGAAGATCAAATCAAGAATATATTCAGAAATCTAAAGAGATTATTGAATAGAGAAATGAGATTAACCATTTTCGATTGATGCTACTTCACACCCAGACAACAGAGCACGCTCCAGACCCTAATTTCTGTGAAATTCAACAATTATATACGCTCCAACAAAACCCTAGGGGATATTTTGTTTTAGGTTAAAATATGGTCTAAGCCCCTGTACTCTTCCAAAATTTAGAAATTAGTCCTCCAACCTTTAATTTTAGGCAATTAAATTCCTGTACTTTTTAGATTTAAAGAAATTCAAGTCCATGCATTAATATTATTAATTTTCTCTATTACAACGCCATTCTTCTGATTAAACAACTACCAAGATAGTCTTTTTATTTAAAATTATCACATGAATGAATTTAGCAAAATAATTTTAACAGTATTAATAATGGAAATTAAATTTTTAAATCTAAAATGTAAGATTAAATTCTAAATGTACAAAGAGTATAATATTATATATCAATTCGATTATTTACTATTTTCCAATTAGTTTTAATTATTTATTTCTTATTTTTTTAATTAGTACACACATATGATGTTATATATAAATCAACATAGCTAATGGGGAAATTTTAAAACTATATTAAAGCAAAGAATTAAAGTTCATAGTCTTAACTTTTAATTTATGCATATACCCCCACTATACGACCCCTAAATCATCTGTGCATAAACTAAGAAACAAACTGTAGAGTTCAAAAGTAAAATAAAGAAAAACACTACACTGAGACTTCTAATTTCTTAAACGCTAAAGGTGAGACCGACTCGTCGACGGGCAATTGTTTTCCCGTTCATCAGAGACGCGCACCGCACTGAGTCTAAGGGAGAACTAAATTGATAAGCTGGGAGGACGATCACGGCATAGGAGGTGGTGGAGGAAAGATGGTGTTGGCAAGCTCGAGGTTCATTTTCACCGGGAGTTGTGGCATCTGCTTCATGATATCGGGCACGTCTTCGTTCATCCTGCAAATGGAAAATGAATAGAAGCATATCAGAATCCTCCCGATACACATGTTCGGGTATGATTCCAGCACAAGTGATGAACGGTAGTTTTAAAAAGTAAAGGCTCGGTAACATAGGTGGAATATGTCAAATAATATTCGAGCCCGCAAGACGGTTTAGCTGGTTAAGAATAGTTGGCGTGTGTAAGGAAAAGAAGCAAACCTGTGTTGCATCCGGTTAAGGCAAAGAAAAGAAAATGTGCATAAACTTTGCAATTGTTCAAAGACTCGATTCTTTTGTATCGCAAACAAATTAAGATTCCAACTAATATAGAAACGGATCTTTAACAAAAACCGGGAACTTACAGATTCAAGAGTTTGAGAATGTTGTCACGAGTTTGGGAGAGGAGAACAATATTTTCCTCCAACTGGAAAACGGTAAAGGAGACAAATTCCATTAGAGACCAGCCAAGGCTGAACAGCACAGAAATTAGGCTTCATCCACGCCAACTCAAAATATATGCTAATTCAAAACATTACCATCCTGGTAATGCCAGATAATAAGAGGAGACACTTTGAATATTTTATCACAGTCGGTAAGTGACCTGATACTAGTCAGCTGCACATAACTATAGTGCGGAGAATTGAAGTTATAATACTTGGACTCTGGTATGTCGAAAAAATTTCCAAGTTTTCCATTTGTCTAAAGGATCTTTGGGATGTCCCACCCCCATACTCATGTCTGAATATGCATGATATTGGTATAAACACAAGAACTTCAAGAAAATGAAGAGTGAGAGTAACACAGTAAAATTGATATAACATGCCAATACCTCATAAGATGCAAGATTTGCAGACATTTGATTCAGGGCTTGAGCGTTCTGCTGCAGAAGTTCACTTGCCACCCTGCCGATGGCTGTGAAAAGGCATTAATGTAGTTTTTCAATTAAATTTTCCAGTAATAACAGCATAGAAGACAAAGGAGATTTCATGCTTAAAAAAATTTGGCAATTGTAAACTAAATAAAAAAATATAGAGAGTGCAATTATTAAAGCAACATAATATGAGACAGTAAAACTCGATTTCTACTTCAATACTATGTATATAAAACTTCTTTCAATAAAATACTGAATAAATCTTGATGAAAATGTAAACTGATAAATTTAATTAAAATTGCATGCTAATAGGTCTATTTAATAAAGTGTAAAACTTGCAAGAAAGAATCAACAAAGACTTAGCTATTAATAGCAAAATAAAAACTGTCGAGGATAAAATCCAACCTTCAAATGGAATACAATCATTATAGTCCTTAGGAGCCATTGGGGTTGGATTTTGGGAAACGCTGGATTGACCAGCAAAATGAGTAGGATCTGCTGAAGAGCCAACAACTCTTTCCTGAAAACGTAAAGAAAAGATATTTTGCTAAGTATCTATTGGTCCAAAATATGATTATAAATAAAATTAATGCTTTATTTCTCATAATCATCATCATATCAAAAATATATTAGCATGACCCGGAAGCTTTGAAAGAAAACTTCCCAGAAAAGTCCAATAAATTCCAAGTCTAAATATCGGCTGAAGTCGTGAACTTCTTATCAGCAGACTAAGGACTGTTAAAAATTCCGTACAAGTTTCCCCCTAGAGAGGGGGCAGGAACTACTTCAATATCCATTCAACATCTCTACTAAGAAAAACATGTACTGTTATGCTAAATAACCCTCCTGGGGTCGAGGAGTTTCCCTCCAACACCTCACATGTATAATAGAGTTTTCGAGTGTGAATGAAAGCATTCATTCACATATTTTCACGTGTGCCTGTTTGGGAGATAGATATAAACAGAGAACTTATTCATGTCAGTTTCACAGAGAGATAAATTACGTTTAGCTTAAGTCTAATTTTATGAATTCCAAGTAACCAACCAAGACGGCTCTTAGGAGCAATCAAAACAAAAAAGTGTACTTTACACACATAAAGAGGAAAAAACAAGTAAATCTTACCTTTTTTGCTTTACCTTTCCTGGTTAAGTTCACCTCTTCCTTCCTCCTCTTGTCACTTCTCTTTTTCTGCATAAAGCATAAATCAAATCATGCTCTTATAATACACACATGCATGCATAAACAACATTTTTGCTCAGTAAAAATAGAGTAAATATCCTTTTGTCCAATCATAAGTGCTTCATCTTCTAAAGTAGATTTAAGATGAAACCATCAAAATATATCAGCTAAGTACTCAAATAAGGGCCAAACCTTTTAGGGGTTGCTCACATAAGGGCCAAACATTTCAATATGGTTGAATAAGGGCCTAATGTTCTTGGATCTGCTCAAACAATGGCCTAACCTTTCGAAAAGGTAGAACAGGTGTTTGACATTTTCAAATATGCTCAAATAAGGGCCTAACCTTCTGAAAAGGTTTTCAAAAAAGGGTTCTTATTTGAACATTATTAAAAAATGTTAGATCATTATTTGAGCATATTTGAAAACGTTAAACCTTTATCCTGCCTTCTCAAAAAGGTTAGACCTTTATTTGAGCAAATCCGAGAATGTTAGGCCCTTACTCAAGTGACTTAAAAGGTTACGCCCTTATGTGAGTAATCTCTAAAAGGTTAGACCCTTAATTGAACATTTAGCCAAATATATATGAGTTGAGTAAAATGATTATGTCTTGTATCATTGAAGCAGCATGCTAATGCAAAATATGTTCGGCATGTGGTTATATATATGAGTCTACATTCTGCGATTCTGGCAAAAAAATAATTGATAGGTATAAATAGAGATGAATGAGAAAAAACTCACAGTCATCCATCTGCAACGCAAAGCCACATCCCGCACTGTCTTATGTGGTAAATGCATAGCTATCTTCGCGTAACGAACTGTGCTTGGATCTAAAGCAAATCTGCAAGAAATACCAAGATATCACCGTGAAAATTAAGTCAATGAACTCAATTCAGGGGGGGGAAGAAAAACATTTCAGTTTGTTAACCCTGAAAGCAAAGTAGCTCAATTAATTGGCATAAAAGAAAAAGGAAACAAGACAAATTGAATAACAGAAGTAAAAATTATATGCAGGAAAAGATAGAATGCTTTAGTGCATCCTCCAAACAGTTCATATATTGTATTTCTACCAATCCTAATGACTTACCAAGTAGAAAAACAATCGGAGACTCCAAATATGGAATAGAACAAACTACACATATAAATAAGGAACCCTTGCAATTCTCAACACCAAATATCAGCAGCATTTTATAGTGCCCAAAAGAAACGGTTGAAGGAGAGAATCTGTTTTCTGCAGTCATTGCCCAACAAGTGCAACAAACTGGATGGGCAATTGCCAACTACCTAATTAAGAATTTCAGCCTTAAGGCATGCTATCCCTCATATGCATTACTTAAGAAATAACGCTCTTTGCAGCAACAAACTACAGGCATAAATAAGGCAACATATTTAAATTTTCCATATCAAGTGATAACCCGCCTTATGCGTTACATAAAACATTAAATGTGCTTTGCGGCAACAAACTACATGCATAAGAGTTTTATGTTGACTGGACCACAGGTAAAGTGGCAAAAGACTTGTTATCAAATCTTCAATTGACACCAGTTTCGGGTTCAATGTTTTGACAACCCCTTTTCCCTTCCCGTTCTTATGAACTTCAGCAGAAGTCTTAATGCATGCTACCTCATCTTATGTGCTACTTAAACAATAAATGTTCTTTGTTGCGACAAACTACACCCATATAAATAAGGAATCTAATGTCAATTTTCTATATCAAATATTAGTGTTTCTGTAGTGCAGAAAAGGCTGAAGGAGAATCAGTTCTTTGCAATCATTTCCTTAAAGTGTAACAAATCGGATGGGCATTTTCCAGCTACTTAATCAAGATCTTCGGCAGACTCAATATAAGTGTCCCTTATGCGTTCCTTGAGAAATGAACGTTCTTCGCAGCAACAATGTCCAGAATTTCTGTTCATCGGCAGAAATTAATATCTTCGCAGCAACAATGTCTAGAATTCTTTGGAGCCAGTTATTGTTTAAGCTTCCAGATGCATATTTGCCAAATATCTTTCTCTCTTATTACTATATAAAACACAAAGCCGTAGCCCGCCAACTCCAAGATTACAGTTCTATAATGCAAGGCCCAAGAGCATTGCCCTCTACATCCTTACAGATATCTAAAGAAATACCATATTTTTTTCTTCTTTCTTTACATTTATGAACTGCTTTTATTTCTTGTTCTTGTTCACCTCATTAATTGTCCACCAATTTATTAAGAAACATTTCTATCAACGATCTCTTCAGTTTCTTTTCTTTTTGTTTTAGACAAATCTAGTTTTTTTTCTCATCTAATTAATTTTGTTCAAGGAAAATCAATCAATAATACTTCTCATACTATTGTGGCTTAGAGGAAGGAACAAATTCCCCCCAATAAACTGATTTACCTATCTAGGCTCCAGTTCTATTTCCTCAAATGTCAGCTTGAAAAAGAATGAAAGATTATGATATCATTTATCTAGTTTTCGAAGGGACAAAAAAACAGAATAATGAAAGCCTTAGTAAGGAAATCATTCATTCTTCACATAGAGAGGTAAATACTGATATGTCATAATTCACTCAGAAGTTCTATCTCACAACCCTACTAGCTTGGCATATAACTCTCAATTACCACCGAATAAAGCACGATACACGAGGAAAATTAGAAAAAAGACAATAATACCAATTAGAGCATGCGTATCATCCATTTACATTTGGTGAACCAAACTTTTAGATTACTTAACAAGATAAAGTTGCATTATGATTTTCTACAAATCAGGGGGGACGCTTATCCCTAAGAAAGGTCTTATCCAAAACAAAGACAAACAACAAAACCATATTGAGCAAACACAAAAAACAAATAAAGAAAGAATGAATGATTAAAACATGAGCAGCACTAGTAACCTTCACTCTTGAAACCTTAAGATCCAATATCAAAAACATTTTTTGTCTCTAGGATACCAATGGTAAGCACCAGTAACATATATAAGGTTAAATTATTTTTTCCTTCTTCCCCGTGGATAACAGGTAAAGATGGGAGACCCCAAGTAGGAAAACATGGTGGATTATAGAAGGCTGTTGTAAAGAAGGTAATGGGAATTGAAAAAGTACGGGTAAAATATAGGAAAAGAATGTAACATGGAAGAAACAAGTAAAATAATAAAGTAGAAATGAAAATTGAAAAGGATGGATATAAGGCAGTGGGGATGGGGTTTATACAGTCGGTTCTTGTGTTAAGAGTTGTGCTTCAATTTCAGAAGAGTCTCATTTCTGGAACAAGATTGTTTGGAGAGGATTGGTTCCCCCTAGAGTTGAAACATTAGTTTGGCAAATTGTGCTTCAAAAAATTTCAGTTAAATCCGAATTGGTTAAAAGAGGAGTTCAAGGTATTGAGGATGGCTTATGCCCTCTTTGTAAAATGGTTGAAGAATCTTCTTCGCATCTATTCTTCTCCTGTTCGATTGCGTGGTCTTTGTGGAATAAATTTCTAAATATTTGGAGATTTAGTTCTGTGTTTTCTGCAGAAGCAAAAAAATTTCTTCTTGCTTGGGATGAGTTGAAATCTAATTCGGTAATTTGGACTTTCATTCATGGGGCTGTTATTTGGACAATCTGGAAATTCAGGAATTACATAGTTTTTGAAGGGGGGAAGCTCGATCAGACTGAATTATTCTTCTTAACAAGAGTTAGGCTGGCCTCTTGGTATTTAGCAAAGAATAAGGATGTTTCTATTCCTAAGGACTCCTTAATTTCTGATCCTTCTATAGGGGATTCTTACTCGTCCTACAATTTCTTGAAGTCTTCCATAACCCCTTGGTTACCTCCCCCTACGGGTTTCATCAAGTTGAATGTGGATTCAGGAACCGGATGGTTCTGGACCTCCAACATTGAAGGAACTTAAAGCTATCCAAAGGGGTATCTCTTTCTTTACCTCTATCCTAGGGAGGGTTAAAGATAGGTTGATCATAGAGAGTGATAGCAGAGTTGCAGTAGACTGGATCAATAAGGTTGTCTCATGTCCAGCTGTTTATGGTTTCATTGTTAGAGATATTGTTGAGTGTCTTAAAACTGTCGGGGGGTTGTTAGATGGATTGCAAGGACAACTAATATGGATGTCGATGCTCTAGCAAAGGCTGGTATAGGTTGATTATTATGTTGTTGACTTCTATAGTTCGGTTTTAAGGCTCAAGAATTGTTGTAAGGGTTCTACTTGGATTTTTCTTTCCAAGGTTGTAATTCTTATTTTCTTCAATGAAATTATAAGGCACTCTTTTCCTCCTTCCGATGATTAAGAAGCTTCTTTACAAGCTCCATTAATCAAGAAGGAGGTTTTTAAAGAGACCTTCAAAATCTTATAAAAAAAAATAGTTACGGGAACTAAGATGCTTTGGACGTGTAAAGACGCAAAACCTACACAAACATGTTATATTTTCAATTATGGAACCAAATACACTGCAAGTTTCAAGGACAGGTGATTCTATAAGTTTCGATACAATAGGAGCCAAAAGTGAACCCACAGGTTGGGGAACAGAGATTATTCAAATGCTTCCTTATGGAAAGTTAGTGTCTACATGCTCGGCGGTACACACACTTCGAAGTATAATGTTTCACTTTACCTCCCGTATCTTGGCACCACAAAAGCTACATTAACAAGCATAAGATCTCTAAACAGCATTTCGATCACCTTGCTTACGGCCTATGTTGCTCATACTCTTCATAGACAGACCTTTCGCTTATTTATCATTTACAATCAATTCTAAGCAACCACAACAAATAAGAACCCAGGAACGGAAATCACATTTCTATTATTTAAAATTTCATTAAAGACTTGAGATCTACAAAAACAGAATTTCACCAAAACCACAAAATTCTATGCAACTAAAAAGACAAAAAGAAGACTCACACTCTTAACCCTTCCTCGAGTACAGCTTGCTCTTCTGAGCTCCACTCCAACGAAATACACGGGTTATGAAGCAAACTCGAACCCACGACCGGATTCCCGCTGTGCAAGTGTGCTTCATTGAAAGAAGGCAACGAGTGATTCACTCCTTGTTGATGGTTCCCCGGTGCGTTCGCCATCGTATTTAACTTTAAAAAAACAATCCCCGATTCTCAAACCCTTAATTATTTAGGCTTTACATGAATTAGAATGGGAATCAAATAACAAAAACGCAAACCCAGAATTGTGACAAGTGTCAGAGATAGGAAAATCGGTTACTTCCAGCTAGCCGAGGCGTTCCCGCCATAAAAGAATCAAAACCCAGATTAAAAAAAACACCAAAGGGAAGAAGAACTACCAATGAAAAAAGAAAATATAATTCAAATATGAGAAACACTGGACTGAAGGGAGCCGTTCTAACTTGAAATTACATCAGCAGATGAAAGAAAGAAAGGGAGAAACGAGATTTTGAGAGAGAATTTAAGGATTCAAGAGAGAGAGACAAACAGGGATTCTGAAAACGAAAAAAGTGCGGGGAGGGACAGAGGAGAATGAAATCAAATCAAACTCATTTCGAGACGTTCATATTGTCTGACAAGTTGAACTCAATTAGAATTCTTATTTTCCTCAAAGACTAAAACCCCTTATTCTGAATAGAAACAAAATATCAAATAGATAAATTTCCCCATTTTAGAAATTTAATTTATTAAATCTACATCAAAATTAGAAAATAAAATCTAATTCTTATTTTTAATTATTTTCTTAATAACTTACGAAATTTTAATTTTTCAGTATGGTTAAATAAATAAACAAATTCTCGATTCCTAACTTTTTATATTATATTTTATCTTTTTATTTTCTATTAATTATTTAATTCCGCACCCCTTAAAATTTTATAACTCTCCGCCCCTAAATTTTTTAATGCGTCCGTCCTTGTATAAAACGTCCATGTATAAAATGGACTATACCATATACTTATGATATAACACATATTTAATCTATGTGACTATTGGAAGAATTTTATAAGAAAAAAAATATGTGAGATGCGTATCGAAGATGCGTGTTAACACGAGCATAAGCTAGGCGAGAACATACGTATGTAAACTCTGTCTTAAATCACTCAATGAGTATATGTTTAAAATGCTATATCACCCGATATAAGATTTGATAATATGAATCTATGCTGATTAGATATTAATTTTTCGAGTGTTTAAAAATAATATTCGACTCTGGTCACATTTGCGCTTTTCCTACTATAGTACCACCATACAAGGGGCTTCATTTTAATAAATAATTCGTTATAGATGTTGTTATTTGTATTTAATTTTTTATGTTGGTATATGAGTAATTTAAGTAGCTGAAAATCAAATGAGGATATACTTGCCAAGTGCTATTTGTTGTTATATAGACTTCAAAAAGGGCAAATTTGGCCCAATACAGTTTATTTAACCCAAGACTACACAAAATAAATTATTTAAGAATATTCGACATTTACTACATTAACTTGAAACTTATCACATCAATATAACGAATTTTAATAAAATATATTTTTTATTCAAACTTTTAACCTTGATAAAATTAATTTTAACAATATATTTTTATTAAAACTCATCACATCAAAATAATAAATTTAAATAAAAAAATATTATTTAAATAAACTTATCACGTCGACGTGACAAATTTACCCTGCACTATAACATTTACAATAGATTACAAAATAAATTTCGAACCGACCCATTGAGTCAATTAGTTTTTCCGCCTGACCTAATAAAAAGACCCTTCAAATTTGGGTTCAAACGTGTGTTTTATATTTGGTTATGGATGTCACAATTATTGGACTTTATTGTAATTTACTTTTCAAAACATTGTAGTAATGTTGGCCTCCCTGTTGCTCTCTACATCCTTTTTCCTTTAGCTTTTCCTATTATTTTAAAATTTTATAAGCTGAAGGAATTCGATTCCAATCAATCCAGTTAAGAGAATCGAAAACCGAATCGAAAACCGAATCGAACCGTAATCGCCCGAGTTCAAGTGGGAGAGAGCAGGGGAAATGAAGAGCAAAATAGATTACTTACTATACAAGGCAGCTGAAGAAAGGCCTAATGGAAACATACAACGCAAGTAAATTTTTCCACCACACAGTCCTAAACTGTCTTTTTCTTAAAACCACAGCTCAATCTGCAAGGCTACAAACTCTCTTCAGAACATAAATGCGCTGAATACAAAAAATGAAAAAATGGGTACCAATATTTCCAATGTGCATCCATGGCAGCCTGCATCAACATCAGAAAAATCTATCATTTCGATACATATGCAGATACAGATAAGTTACTTAAACCAAGCCTATGTTAATCAGATTTACAAGCGTCGGGTCGGATGTGTATGTTTAATGTTTTGTTTTTTTCCAAGTTATTCCATTTAATCGGAGTCATCTATCCCATACCCATACCCGAATATGTATTGCATATACAGATAAGAACTGTTACAAACCGGGATTTTTCAGCATATCGGATGTTGGTAGGGCAGGCAACGACATCTCTGCAACAGCAGGCAACAGCCATTCCATTAGGATATAAGATGAAGCACACAAGGAAATTAAGCTTCATTAAATCCACACGCTTAAATTGTGTTGATCCCTTGCAAGAGAGAATAAAACATATGAAAGCCCTTTTTTCTGCGAATGAATTACCTGGAGCACAAAGAGACAAGGATGACATCGATGATGATGAAGGCCACGGAGCTCCAATGTTGTCAGTCAAGTCGCATGTAAAGCTGTAGCCAGTCGAATTGTCAAATACCACATCTGCTGGCAAGCTTCGTAGTAGGCATCCTAGATATGTAGAAAAAAAACCAAAATTTTTAGTCTTTACGGTACATTTTAATTTCTTTCAAGTTTTAGTGTATAATCATCTAACTAATTAAGACCTATGTTACTCGGACTCATGTGCGTGTCCGATGAGTATGCATTCGACTTGGGTATGAACAAGATCCAAGAGTAAAAATATAAACATGTAAAAAGTAACTCATTTGATGAATTAATCGGCATGCACATAGCGCTTCAAACCTTATCGTCCATATACCACACATATACATACACAGGCATATAAAACAGTCATACATACACCATTTATATTATTAACCGGTGAATATGCAAATGTGGATGATAGAACGAGAATAGGAAACATGACTAACCTTGTTGTCCATATGCTGCCGTAGAAACCGCACATAAGAATTCAACAGGCAGAAAGAAAAGAAGGAAACATCAATATCAGATAAAACAGCAGAGCGAAATAGGCAAAGTTTTAGAAGAACATTAAACAAAACACTGTACCTTGGATACTAAAATCTTTTAAGTCAACATCACAAAGCTCATAAACATTAGTCAGAACTCCCCCTTTTCTTAATATTGACCCGAACATTATTGCACAAACAATGGCTTGCTTGTTTGTAATTAACATTTGCTTCTGTATCCCTGCAATGTACATATTTAATGAGCTACAACAGGAAGGACTCGGAGCAGCTACATTACGGCATGCCTTAATTACTTCTGACGGCTGGTTAAATTCCAAAGGGCAAACTGTATATTCAAAAAAAATCCCACTTTAGATAAAACATAAAACTCAAAAGTATTTGAAACTATCTTGCAAAACAAATGAAAAATAACCATGTGAACTGAGAATGGGAATTAACAAAATAGAGATAATGACTAATGAAGCTTAAGCTCATCAGAAAACTAAGTTTTAACTCGACCTTATCTTGTTATGCAAGTCTGAGTAGCTCGAATTAACAAATTTAAAATATACTTATGTATCGGCCAAAACAGCAATGGTCTAATAAGGAAACTGAAGTTGTAATTTGGCCTCATCTTTCATATTTGATATTTTATCCAATATATATTCTTTAAAAAAGAAGATATATTCTACCCAATATAGAAGTACTGTAGTAGAAACAAAATGTGGGGGAACAAACAAGAACCAACATCGAAGAAAAAGATAAAAACATGTAAGCAACAAATAATTTAAGCATAAATCCAACATTACTCGTACTTGCGTGTGCATGACATACACAATTATGCGTCCGACGCAGATATGTTTACATTTTTTTTAACAAGTCAGAGCAGCATAACATGATCAACCATCTATTCAGACTATCCATTGCCTCCATTTTCATTCTTTCACCAAATGATGGCATCATTCAATACAAGATCATCTCAACTTGAACCTTCCCGAGGTAAGATGCACACCCAAGTGAGTTCATCAGAGACTTGGGTAACATGTAAACAACCAAATCACAATGTAAAGTAAAATACTGAAAACAATCATGCAAGAGATATAGAATCTGTACCCTTGTTGACTTTGCAGGCAGATAGTATTCTGAACGCAGTGTTGGCCACATCTGGTGAGAGTTTCCTTGAAAGATATGAATATACCACCCCCTTACAGTCGTTGATGGCATCGATATGATTAGTCTCCCCAACAACATTTTTATTATCATTGAGCATCATGTGTGTTCCAGAAATTTGTAAAGCAGCTTCCATAATTGCAGGTTGGCAAACAGGCCTGCAGCACTCTTTTAGAGGATCAACAGTGCTGCAATCCTCCAGTAACTTGCTCGTATTCACCGTTTTCTCAAAGGTGCTAACATCTTTCACCGGACAAGAACCACCAGTGAGGTTTGATGATTTTACAGAACATACTGTGGGTATTGTATTGTTGGCCCCTCTACTAGCTAAGATACTAATGATATCCGAAAAACAAATCATTAGCAACAGTGTTTTGCAAGACCAACTTATCAGAGTCGGCACTGTAGTAACCCTGAAAGATGTGGAGTAAAGTACCAAGCTGTGGACAACATATTACGTTTCCTACAAGTGCTGCCAAAGGTAGAGAACAATCAGATGCTGTTTTCCCCATGATATTCGACGTAACAGAAAAATTTACAGGGCATCTTCCAGTTAAATTTGGTTCATAAGTTGACGGGAAACTTGGATACATGGGTGGTGCAGATGCGTCGGGATAAGGGTATCGAGGAATGACAGCGGGAGATATTTCTATAGGTTCAAATAATGCGGTAGCCGGTGGCTTAGCTAGCTCAGATGTGGAAGAAGCATGACTAGGGTCATGCAATGTCTGCAGTGCAGCAACATCTTGGAAACTAGATAACCAGAAAATGAATAATAATAACTGTTGGCATAGGGAACCTGCAACTAGACACAAGCCACATTCTGTCATAAGTGGATAAATATCTAAAATAGAATAGAGTAAGTTCTCAAACGAAGGTTAAAGTTCAAAGCTAAGCACCATATATGTTTTTTGCTAGTAAGGTAAAAACAAAGAACAAAACTAAGATATCTAGGCCAAAACTCTAATCAAATATAATGATGGCTAACCATTAACTGGGAAAAATACTAACATATTTACTTTAACAAATTATTTCTACATAGTAACTCCCCTGATGCCTTGTTAGTGTGAACTTCAAGTAAAAATAATCCTCAGCAAACTTAGAAATACAGGGTCCATCTTGACAATAAAGGAGAACTTGCCCAATATCATAGAAATATTGACCGATGATCATATAACAATATCCCCAGCAAATCAAAACCAGTGTCTCTTAAAATCAAGAAAAAAAGCCAACTCAAAACCTTTATAACATTAAGTTGGAGACCTTTGCCACTTTCTTAACAGCACAATGACAAGTCTAAAGCTAAATTCAAGTAGATCCAATTAGCAAAGTCAAACAACTTGCCTTTAACGCGGCTAACACTCTGAAAGCAGTCCATAGCTATACTAGCCTTTTGCCACCATTGGATCATGCAACTGAAAAACCTCTTGTAGCTCCTTAACAATGATTGCAACAATTCAGTAAAGCCTATATCAGCTTCAAGTGTTAGAGCAGTTTTGGGAAAGAAAAATCAATGCCCAATAACAAAGAATGTAAAACTAAATGTAACTATTTATCTTTGCAACAAAATCAGCACCATAACAGTCAAATTGAGAAGGAGAATAGCCATAAAAGCATGCTTAAACACCGATGACGGGTTTCATATTAATAGCTTAATTTTTTATTCAAACAATACAGCTGCATCACAAGGCATTGTCACTCTACCCAAGTGTTTCAGGTCTAAATCTTTAATTTTATCATAAATTATGCCTTTTCCAGTTTATGTTTTGTCTGGTTGTGTGTGAAACAGCTAGTTCATCTCATCATTCCGAGTGTTTACCAGTTACAAAAATTTGGACTTAGCGAGCATCATTATACCTCCAACTCTTTATGCACCATAAGAACATAAGCAAGGTTTAGCAAGCTTCAAAGACTAAATTAGTACCACAATTTGATCAATCAAGCCATTCAGCAAAGTTTTTTATACAACACTTCCGACAACACACTTAAGGAGCCTTTCAACCACACCAACCTTTTCCCTCTGTCACCCACCAAAAAACCCTCTCTTCTCAGTTCGATTATAATAAGAACTACACCTAGACAAGTTCGACAAGGAACTTCCTAAACTCCAGAAAGAAAGAAAAAATACAATTTCGGGAAACATTACTTATGCCGTTTCCTTTTTCATACTTTTCCAAAAATAAAGAATCCCAATCAAAATAGCCTCACAACCACCATAGTAAATCACTTCAAGTTCTTCTGTTTTCTAAGACAGACCTCGGATTAGAGGTGTCATAACAGAATCTCTAGCTCAACTCAACCAAGCAACTAATTAAGCTTACTTTAGAACACTAGAAACAACATTTCATTTCTTCCATCATCACACCAGCTAACAGAGAAGTGCAAATCTAAGGAAAAATGGATAGAAATGGTTTAACCTAGGTACTGATCATCTAAACTCCAAATTCATTTTCCATTCTTTTTAACAGGTTACTGTTAAGGAAACCTACATCTAAGGGGGAAATACCCATTTCCCCTTTTTTCCCCCGTACAATTTCTCAGATTAGCAAACAGAAAAGGTAAGCAATATATTAAGCATAAACATAAAAAGTAAACCATATACTCACATCAATCTTAAAAAGCAACAAATTTCCCTTAAAACAAACTAAATCAAGAATAAAAACTCTCATTCTTTTTTCTCAAATCTTACCATCTGTACAAGGAAGAAATTACACGTATCTCAAAGAAAATGAAAATTATAACTGAAGTAAACAAAGCCCACCAGATTAAGCGACCAAATAAGAAAACAAAAACAAAAACAAAAGGAGAAAAAAATGTGTTCAAACTTCTAGTTTACTCTTCTCTTACCTAACAAAGAAGAGTTAGCTCAAAACACTTAAAAAAAACCAAGCTCACCCAAATTTCCTTACCTCTGAGTAAGCTCAAAACCACGAAAAACAACAACAAAAAATTCCACTCTCTCAAATTTCCTTCATTCTCCAGCACTTTCTCAGCTACCAAACACTCAAAACAAATGGGAAAAAGAAAAGTTACCTGAATATGTGGAACACATAACATATTCTGGTGAAAATTGAGAGGAAAAGAAGTTATCAAATCAAGAGGAAGGTTGAATCGATGGTGAAAAGGGTCCAAAATTTTATGAGTATTATTATTTATTTTTCTTTATAATTTTGGGGGAAACCCCATAATAATAATAAACAATAAAAAATGACTCAAAATGAGAACGTCTTTGTCTGTTAGCCCTTTTTCAGTGTAATTTCTATTTATTTATATTTGGGGGAAAGATTTCTTTTACACAATGACTGAGTGAGCCAGCGAGACAGCGAGTGAGACAGAAATGGGGTCACTACTGCTGACTATGGCTAACTTAACCTTTTTCTGTCTCTCTCTTCGGTTTCGGATTCGAGTTTGCCTTTACCCATTAACCCGACTTGAAAATTCTAAGTGTAACTATTATGTAAATTCCAATTGAAAAATTTAAAAGGATAAATATAAAAATAAGTACCTAAAGAATGTCTCGAAAAATATTTTAGTATTTAAAAATTTTTTTGTTAAGTTTTCTCTACACTTATCGTTAAAAAAATCGTTAAGTGACAGTGTCACGTTTATATTTTAAAAAAAATATATTATTTAAAAATATTGTTAAAAAATATGGACGAAACATGTGTCACTTAACGATTTTTTTAACAGTATGCACCTAAAAATATAACAGATAAAACTTTAGGTTCTTATTTTTAGCAAAAAATTCTTTTGACACCAAAAATTAATTTTGAGTATAGTTTATTCACTTATTTTTATATTAAGCCTAATTAAAATATCATTAATTAATATTAAATGAAATGCTCAAAATTCAATTTGAATTTTATTGGCCCCTTAACCCATTTCAATTTTAGTTTAACATAATTTAATAATAATAGTTTTTCTTGGTCCTTTTTTCTGATAAAATATATTATGGCTATCGATGTTTATGGACTTCCGATGTAAGTTTTTTTTTATTGGTTTTATTCTCGATCTGTGATTCTATGTGTTTCCATGGTTAGTTGTTTTCCCGATGTTGGTTTCTCTATTCGTTTGTACAAGACGATCTGTTAGTTATCGTATATTTGTGTCGGATAATATTATTATTAAGGGGATATTATTTTTTTCGTTGGTCGATTTGATTATTCTTCAAATTTTTCTCCGTCATGTTTTGTGTGCAGAATCGTTGGTGTTATCTATTTATGTACTATCTTGCATTACTTGTTATACAAACAAAAAAATACAACAATCTCTTTACAACCGAAATTGTTTGGTTTGTGCTTAATTTTTAAAATTATATTATATATATAATTGTACAAATACAATAGTTCTTTATTTTTTAGGGTAAAGTAAACAAATGGTCCCTCAACTATAGGGTGTTATTTTTATAATCCCTTGACTGTTAAAAGTTATAAAATGATCTTTTAGCTATATAATGTTACTTTATTGAGTCCCCGACTATAAAAAATTACAAAATGATCATCCGACTATTCATAAATTCCAAACTCATATGTTTTCGTTAAAAAATTACGACAATATGAGATGGAAGTTAACTCGATGACTGAGATATGATAAAATATGATCATAAAATCTCAATCAACTATCATGTTACAATCAGCATGTTAACATCCAACTTCGAAGACAATCAATTTTTTAATAGAGATGGATGACTTTGAAATATATGAATAGTCGAGCGATCATTTTATAATTTTTAATAATTGGGGGACTCAATAAAGTAACATCCTATAGTCAAAGACCATTTTATAACTTTTAATAGTCAAGAGACTCAATAAAATATCACTATGGGGATCATTTGTGTACCTTATCCACTTTTTATCAACGGACCACAACACAATTTTAAAATTAAACAAATGAAATTTGGATCACAACAACAGAAAAATTAAGATAAAATATGAATTAATAACAATGTCATATTTTTTTATTTTATAAGATGGAGATGATTGAAATCAAATTGACTATCTTGAAAGAAGACCATGTTTATTTTGTGTGAATAATTGGACGTTTAATAAAATTTCTCGATGTTTTTTATTTGAAATTTAACGTATTTATTAGATAATTTATTAAACATAATAAAAAATAATTTAAATATTGGTTTATTTTTTAATAAAAAATTAGTGTATTTTCCTTACCATTATAATTCAATTTTCTAATACTTACTCACTCCAAAGGTTTCTGCAAATATCCAATAACACGTGGTTCTTATCCTAAACCCAAATTATATAAACCTTTCCTAAAAAAAAAAAAAGATTCGCCACTCTTTGATCAACCCAATTGACGACCATGGGGAGGAGCGGTTGGAGCAGAGGAATCGGAAACGTGAGATCATTCATCGGAAACTCGATGGGAGGTCTCCGAGGCGGCCCCAATATAGCCTCTTGGATCGTCGCCGGAACTCTCGCTTATTTCCTTTGGGTGAAACCCTCTCAAGATCTCAAAAGACAACAACAGGTTTCTTTCCCCCCTGATCAATTCGTCAAAGTCATACTTGTTTTTGTTTTAAAACAAAAGATTCATTTTTGATTCTGTAGGAACGGGCAGCTCTCGCAGCTTCGGATCCTTACCGATATATAGAGAAACGGAAACCGATTCCTGATCCCCAGGTGTTTGATTTAATGCCCCTTGGGGTTTCTTTTATGATAGCTTCGGCTTCAGATTTACGTTGAAATTAAAGCTTATTTTCGACTTTTTGTTGTGAATTGGATGGCAGGATAATGGATTGATATACGGCAACAAGAAGAAATCTGATAGTAAAACAGAGGAATAATCAATAATGTGCTATATTACCATTTTGTAAGTTTTATTTTTCTTCTGTATGTTTCATAAAGCTATGAGAATTGTGATAGGATGTTGATTATGTAGTATTAAGTATATGATTGTAATAAATCTCATGATAACTAATTCAGAATTCGCTGTACTTTGGCTCTTTCAACATCCATTTCTATTCCTTTTTACAAGTTGGAAGAATGTTCTGTTATCTGCAAAATAATTCAATAAGAGTTTCTTCATAAAATTCATGGATTCTTTCCCATGGCCCTTTCTTCTGGGTGTGGGTTTGTGGTACAAGTGGGAACCGGGTACTTTGGATTGGGTTATTTTGAACTCAGATTATATCGAAATATGGTCATTTTGAGCTTAGATCATATTAAATTCTGATAATTTTGAACTAGCTTACCTTTCTTTCTCGTTTTATTTCTAATTTGGAATGATTTGGTTTTACAAGTGAGGATGAGACCAGTATTGTTAGAATCTTTTTTAGTCATCGACAACGTATATACACCTTGCAGACGCAACGGGTCGAACCCGAGACCTCTAAAAGACCAACACTCCTTTTACCACTGAGGTCGCTTGACGGGTTCATATCTCTCATTTCTTTCCCCTCACTTCTCTTTCCTACCAAACATCCAAAATTTATTTTCTTTTCGCTTTTACACTCCTTCCATTATTCCATTTTTCCACCTAATCAAGTAAAGCCTTAAAGTTTAGATCTTTATTTTTAAGGTTTGGACAGAGTTTGTTTTCGAGTTCAAATTCATTTTGTCACTTCTTTTTTGTGGGAGGTTTTGAGGTTATAAGGGTTTAGCTTTTCAATCATCAACAGAATCTTTCCCGATCTTCTCAATCTTTCTCATTTATCACAATCAATTCCTAAACCATAATTACATACATTTCTGCATGCTTAATGATTCAATTGTTAAGGAAAGCTTTATATATATAGATGTATGCATATATTTAGACAATGATTTGTGTTGGTAGTTTGGTTGTGCCAGTTAGAAATGATTGCTGATGCCATCTGCAATCATTTCTGCACTATGCATGTTGGCCAAAACAAAGATGCAATTCAATAATGTATGATTACATTTTCTTCATTTAACATAATTAGAGTTGAAATATATTATTTTGAAAATGTAATCTAGCAGGTTAGATTAGGTCCAGGATCAACACCAAGCTGGTTACAATAATCGGTATAGTACTCGATCCGTCGTTGAACGGTGGTCGGGTTTCCACCATCACACTCCATACCATTAATGGCACGAATAGTTGCCCCGAACCCTTGGTTTGTGACCGGTTGAACAAAGTTCACCCAGAACCAGACTGCGGTCTTGAAGGAGATAACTGGGTCCGTGGCAACGGTTTCAGGCGAGTTTAATCCATCGAACCTGATGTTCTCGCCGGCTGGTCCGTAGTTGAAATTCCAGGATAGTTGGATTGGTCCTCGGCCGTAGTATCCTTTGTTAGGGTTGCATGGATATTGTGTGTTGGTTTCATCACAGTAGTCCCTTGTGGCACCGTTATCTATGTAGCAAAAATCTGCATTACAAAAGAAAGGCGTTTGCTGGTTAATTACCATGAAAATTTGATGACACAACATTTTTATACTCAGATTACGATCCAAATTCAAATTTGTTACAGTTTAAGTTTAACTCGACTCAATTATACTCGACTTGACAAAATGCATGTTAGTCTTCGAATTAAACAACTAAACATTTACGAGTAACAATTAAGAAAAGTGAGGGATCTTACGTCTGGTCTCGTGGGTGACATCGCCAGAGAAAGCTGCAATCTCACGCCGAGAATCATCAGCGGATCCAATTCTTCCGAACCGAGGATAAGGACCAAGAGCTTAGAGAAATGCTGATCTCGAATAAAAATTACTCCCTTCACAATTAGCTTCCGCAACATCCAAAATCCAATTAAAGAATTCCGGAGTAACGATGTCAGCCACCGAAACGTTGTTTAAAGCTGGTGGCGGATTACAGGGACCCTGTTGGCACCCTGGGCCGCAATAATCATCACCGGTGCCGCAAAACCCTCACCGACTACAACATAAATCTTGTTTGCAACGGCTGTTGTGAGCATTCACTGTGGTTGCTCCGATGCCAATAATCGCTGCGAGAAGAATGGTTAGTAAATGTTTCCTCATATCGGAGGAAAAATGAGATTTTATTTTTGGGAACTGAAGAATGTGTTTAATGGAGAAGAATGGCGGGGATGAGTTATTGAGTTGAGAAGATAAAGTGAAAGTTGGTGGCGTTTTGAAAGTCAAAGTTTGGCGTGCAGTGTTCGGGCCGCTGGCAATTGCTCCGGCTTTGACTTCGTGCGCGTACGCTTTTCGCTAATGTGAACCACACCTGTAAATAACAGCTAGGACTTCGTCTAACAGCACATGAAGGTAACGTGCTCCTTTGATTTTCATAGTAAAGAAATTATTGTAATCTTTTAAAATTCTAAATTTGAGTATTAAGAATGTTAGAAATGTGAGCGTTTAATGTCAAATAGTTGAGAGTGTTCTTTAAACAAGTACTAATTTATACTTACCTCAAATTAATTAAAAAAATTATTATTTTTAAATAAAGTTATAAATATAAATATTAATATTTAAATTAAGTTTTTATTTTATTCCCGTTCAAAATTTAACATTAAGTTTTGAAAAAAAAACTTTAGATATTAAAACAGACCAAAACTGATAGTTTAGGTACTAAACACGTGAAATTTTTAACAACGGGTACTAAAATGAAATAAAAACTAAACATTATATATGGTTTTAACAAAAAAAATTAAAAGTTTAGATATTAAAATAGACTAAAACTGATAGTTTAAGCATTAAATGCATAATTTACCCTAAATTAAATAGAGGGCTCGAAAGGAAAGAGAGAAATCTCCCTCCTATCGTAGAAGATATACTATGAGTATATAATAATCATGTAATCATTTATTCGTAGGATAAGATATAGTCTAAAAATATTTCATATAATTATTAGAAAATAATATAATTCATTTATATTTATTTAAATCATTCATATTACTTTTAAGATTGATCATATTCAATTTATTCTAATATTTCATATTTAAATTACGTCCAAAACTATTAAAAACCTCATATTATCATATAGGAAGTATACAAATATATAATTGATTTATTATCAGGTGCACTTTTGATTTATTTAAAAAATATTTTTAAATAATATTTTATTTATTTAAAAAAATAAAGACTTGACACATGTTAATTAATGAGTTTTTAAAAAATGTAAATAAGAAAACATTAGACACTTATTTTTAACAAAAAAATTCTTTAAGCACTAAAAGTTAATTTTAAGTATAATTTAAGCATTTATTTTTATATTAAGCCTTATTTATAAAACTTGTCACTGATAATACACCAACCATATATAATACTCTTAATTTTTATCATTACGTTGATTTCATGACGTACAGCTTCATTTTGTTTTATTTATGAGGATTAAGTAGTCGGAACCGAAAGTAAAATTCTAGCACCTAAGATTAGGTCCAGGATCAACACCGAGCTGGCTGCAATAATTTATATAGTACCCGACCCGAGCCTCCACTGCCGGTGGATTCCCTCCGTCGCACTCGATAACCCCGTTAATGGCTCGAATCGTCGCCCCAAACCCTTGGCCTAGGACTTGTTGAACATTGTTCACCCAAAACCAGAAGGCCGCCTTGAAGGCGATAACAGGGTCATTGGCCACGGTTTCGGGCGAGTTTAGTCCATCGAACCCGATGTTCTGCCCGGCTTGTATGTAGTTGTAGTTCCAGGTTAGTTGGAGCGGACCGCGACCGTAGTAGTTTTTGTCGGGGTTGCACGGAAAGTTGGTCGGATCACAGTACTGGCTGTTGGGGAAGCTTGGACCAGCTATCTCATTTATGTAGCAAAGATCTGTACAAAACAATAGCATTCGTTACATTTATAATCGTAATAAATATAATATTATTCGGTGTATGTATGTATCGACCGTAAATTTAGGTTTATAAGAGGGATATAGGGATTATACTTCCAGTTTCATGTGTGACATGAGCAAAGAAAGCCGCAACCTCACGCCTAGTATCGTCAGCCGTACCGAATTGAGAAAATGAATTGAAAGCCTCAATAAATGAAGCCCTTGTATAAAAGCTCCTCCCTTCACAACCTGGATCTGATTGAGACTTTATCCCATCAAAGAATTGATCTGTCACAATATCAGGCACTGTCTGAGCCCCTATCGACACCGAACCGACGAGAATTCCGACAATGAAAACGGTTAGCAGAGCCTTCATCATATCGGGAAATAACATTTTTGTAAAGATCGAAGTAAGTTTTGATGTGAAGAAAATGTGCGTAGGCGTTCCACTAATTATATTGACGACGGCGGCTTATTTTTTGTGGTCGGAATTATTTGCTATCTCCATTGGAATAATCAGACGCAAGAGATCAAATTGAATCCTAATTCTGACTTTTCTTTTTCTAATAATTCATTTATTAATGTCAAACTCAACCCTCTAAAATTAATATTTGGATTTACTATTCAAAAAATATATTTGCATTTATCCCATATATATTGAATTTTATTAGATAAATCACAAATAATTTTTTATTCATTTTTTTATACAATAAAATTTAAGCCATGATGACTCCTATAGTCTAGGGTCAGGGTATACTTAAGACCTAATTAAGATTTACATAAGAATTTACAGATTACCCACCAAAAATGACGGTGGTGGGATTCAAACTTATGCCAACACTCTTTAGTAGTTTTTTATTCATTTAATAGTTTAAATGAAAATTTATTTTATATAACAATCTATCATCTTTTAATTAAGAATAGGGTAAAGTATAGTAATAGTCACTGAACTTTTCTAAAATTTTCACTTAGGTCCCCCAACTTTTAAAACTTGCAATACAATTCTCCAATATTTAGTCCGTTTGCAATATGGTCCCCGACATAACCGGCCGTTTGACGCCGTTACACTGCCGTTAGAAGAAGATGGCGCGACAGTCCTCTAACATTTAATCCGTTTGCAATATGGTCACTAAACTTTTCAGCGCTTGCATTTAGGTCCCCCAACTTTTAAAACTTGCAACACAATCCTCAACTTCATTCTAAATCCCAAATTCCAAAATAATTCAATTATATTTTAAACCCAAAATTCTAAAATACTTTAATTTAGGGTTTAGAATGTAATTAGAGTATTTTTGGAATTTAGGGTTTAGAGTGTAATTAAAGTATTTTGGAATTTTGAACATGAATTTACTATTTTACAGTGTTCACTTCAATATAAATTTGAGATTTGTTGCATGCACATCCAACGGCTGTCGCACTTTGAACATGAAAAGTGCACTTATCACGTTTGTTGCATAAACCGTTGAAGTAAAAGGAACAAGGCCAATTTGTCTTGTTCACAGCTGTCGCACTTTGGTATGATAATCCAATAGGTTTGGATGGAACTTGAGCATACACATCCAACGACTGCGAAAATAGTAAAGAGTTTTAGTTCATAGGACTACAACATACAACCGAGCAATAACTAAAATAAACCAAGAATATCAATTAATAAATCATTTGAAATGATGACTTAATAAATAAAGGGAAAGAGGTTCGATCATAGTCACTCCAAAAGCTAAGGCGTCAAATGGGTTGTTTAAGATAGACATTAGATGCCAAATACAACATTATCGGTTGCAAATGCATTAATGGCCTACCCTTTTAACATATAATTGCTTCTAATGCTCTATGTTTAATGTTCCTCAATAGTCAAACATGATAGGAATCTGAAGCATATAGCAAAACTAAAATTATAGGACCCCATAATTCTTGTAAATTCATGGCATGTCAGCAATAAAAGACATTGTAAAATATAGATGACACTACAACAAACATATATATGCCATAAATAAAGGTGCAAATATGCAATGATCGGACAACATATCAAGTAGTTGCTCTAAACATACTACCCTGTCATGATGTCTTTCGAGTTACGTGCATGCATAATTGTCTTATAAAGCTATAATTCAATACAAATTCAACTGTAAAATTTCCAAAAACATGTAAAAAAATCCAATTCGTTCACAATATATCAGTTCCATAATCAACATGAACTTATTAAAAAAGAATACGAGCTCATATGGTGCCAAAAACCACAGGTCGAATCAATAGAATTCCCACCAAACTAGTACCAGCAGTCTCTCGGATTGAGGCTGACGATTTCAGTATATTGCTACTCACAACCAATTCCTTGCTTTAAAGAAAAACCAAACAAGAAGGTCACAAAAATTTAGCCTAAGACCCTCTTTCACTTCTATTCTGATGGACTGAATATCTTTCATAAGGAGTACTAAAAGTTTTGATTAAGAAGAAAGAAAGAAAATTAGATGGATTTGGTTTAAAACTAACACTGAATATCCAGATCCTTGACATGCAATTCCAGAAACATCAAAATTTCAACAAAAAACACACAATTCTTCATCCATTTTTTTCTTTGTAAATAAAAAGCTGAAAGACAGAGCACTGCTTGGGTTTACAATTTTACATGGCGGAAACTGAAGAACAAAAACCAAACGAGAGTGCATGTGAGCGAATGAGACAAAGAGGTGAAGGCGTTGTTTAGGATTTCATTATATTTAATCATCTGTTGGATAATCTTTAACCACAAAGATTAAACGAAGAAATTACTATATGTCATTTATACAAAATAATTCCAGCTTTGTTGGTGTCTTTCAACAATGATACTTAGTTCATCTTAGTATTATTTGTCAACTCTACATTTCTAACCCCATTTTTTTCTCACAAGCATTTCATCGAACATCTATGCTTCACCTGAGATGACTTGTATCTAACATTACACCTTGAATCGTTGATGGTCCTGATAGTCCCTTGGTCGGGTCTTCTCTCAATGGACTCTTATTCAAGTGAACACCTCCGCATAATTCAAAGTTAGATTATAATTTCCCATGCATCCCCGACTGAAAAGTTGCACTGGAAATGAGAAGAGAGAAGTGAAAAAGGAAATTCGAGATCGAAAAAGAATTTGGGGTTTAGAATGAAATTAAGAAATGTGTTGCAAGTTTTAAAAGTTTGGGGACCTAAATGCAAGTGCCTAAAAGGTTCAGTGACTATATTGTAAACGGACTAAATGTTGGAGGACTACCACGTCATCTTCTTCTAACGGCAGTGTAACGGCGTCAAACGACCGATTACGTCGGGACCATATTGCAAATGTGGATAAAATGGAGGATAGCTTAAAAAATCAGGATTCATAATTGTCAAATAATTGTCAATATATATATATATAAGTTTAAATTTAAGAAATAAGGAATTTTCAAAAAAAAATCAAGGATTCGTAATTGTCAAATAATTGTCAATATATATATATATATAGAAGTTTAAAGTTAACAAATAAGGAAATAAAAAAATAAGGATTCATGATTGTCAAAAAAATCAGGCTTCACAATTGTCAAATAATTGTCAATATATGTATATAAGTTTAAATTTAAGAAATAAGGAATTCTAAAAAAAATCAGGATTCATGATTGTCAAATAATTGTAAAAAAAATCAGGATTCATAATTGTCATATAATTGTCAATATATATAAGTTTAAATTTAAGAAATAAGGAATTTTCAAAAAAATCAAGATTCATAATTGTCAAATAATTGTAAAAAATCAGTATTCATAATTGTCAATATATATATATATATTAATAATTTTAAATTTAAGAAATAAGAAATTTTCAAAAAATCAGGATTCATAATTGTCAAATAATTTTATAAAGGTTTGAATACAAATTTAACACTTGTAAAACATATCGTTATGAAGTTTAAGATTAAAATTTTGGTATTTAGTTTTCCAAAACGGAATTGGGGAGAGTTAATTAAGATCAATTAATGCACGAACCAACTTATTTCACTGGTTAAATGAATATTGTTTCTAAAGGTCACGAGTTTGAGCACCAGCGACTCCAGCAGGGTGATATAATGTTTTTGTTAAATGATTGAGAGTATTTAAAACAAATACTACTTTATAATTACCTTAGCTTAATCAAAAAAAAATTAAGATCAATTAATAATTGCCTAATTTATATTTGATAAATGTCGGAGAGTAATTTTTTTTGAATAATCTATGATAAGTACACGACAGTATTTGTTAAAAGGTAACTCTTAACCTTTCAACATTAATCGCTTACATCCCTAGCATCTATCGAACCTGGATCCTTAAGTAATAACAATAATTCATTTATCACAAAACTTCGATTCGTGCATGTCGGAGAGTAAATTAAGATCAATTAAGAATTGCCTACTTTATAATTTGACAAACGTAAGATCAATTATTAGCGACTTGTGTTTGAGTGCCGGTGTTTGATTGTTTGAAGATGGGACGCGGTTTTAGTAGTTTGAGATGTTAAAAATTAAAAGGGTAAACTACATATTTAGTCACCCAACTATAACTTTAGTTCAATTTTGGTTACTTGACTATTTTTTTAAACTTATCACTGACGTTACGTTTTCGTTTCATTTTGGTCACATATTATTAAAAAACTAACAGTGATTTTGACATTTCACCATAAGATATTGTTATATCATCATTGAAAAAATGTCACATCAACAGTTTTGTTAATTTTTTAAGGGTAAATTACACAATTCCTTACTAAATTTTACCCTCTCTCATATTTTACTCATCCTACTTTCAATTTTTCTTTGCTCACTAAGCTTTACGAATTGAATCATTTTGCTCACTCTATTATCTCTCTAACGTTGTGATGATGTGTCATTTTTTATTATTATTTATAAAATAATTGAAAATATAAAGTGTAAGTTACAACGTTCCTCACTGAATTTTACTATATCTCATATTTTGCTCACCCAACTATAAAATAAAAACAGAAGGTGGCAGGATGCAACTGTCAATCACAGTCGACCGCCATGAGTCTGAATCCTACCTCTATTTTATTGGAACTTTCTCCGAAATCCACAAATTGGAGATTAAAAGTGAGGAAGTCAAAACGTTTCAGTCGATATTCACGAATTTTGGGACATTTTCGTGTAAAATAACCACTAGGTTCGGACTCAAGGGTCGAGACAAACCGACCCATGAAATTTAGAATCGAACAACCAACATCTACGGTGGTCGACGGTGGTCGGAAGTGGTGTCTAACCACCTTCTATTTTTATTTTATAATTTTAATTATTTTATAATAAGTAATAAAAAAATGCCACATCATACAAAAATAATAATATAAAATACAGAGTGATCAAAACAGAAGCAATGTGTAATTGATTAATAGGTTGCAATTTCCAAACACCGTTCCTCCTTTTTTATTTTCTATTTCATTCGAACCTAAGCAAAGCCAAGCAAAAATAGCAAAAAAAATATAACGAGAAAGAGAAAAGAGTTTACCTTTTCGTCAAGAAGAAGAAGCGTCGTCGAAAAGTTGAAATTCGAAGGGTCTCGGCGTAGATCCATGACGTTGTATGCTCTCCCTTATGAAACGAATCCTGGATCCTTGTTGCTGGCGTCGAGGCGAGCAAACCTTGAAGTTTTGGTGGTCAATTGCAACCGGAAGTGGTGATCGACGCGGCGTCTGGCGACGGTGATGACGGTGTAGCGGCCACCGAAACTCCCAGTCTAGAGATAAGGAAGAGGGAATCGGGGTAAAGAGAGAAGAGAGTATGCAAAAATGAAAAAAAGGAAAAAAAAGGCTATTTATAGACATGACAAAACGGTGTCGTTTTGGCACACCCCAAACGCCGTAAAACGACGTCGTTTTGATTCCTTCCTCTATGTTGTGCGTTTTGTCCTTTAAAGGTCTAATCACGAGGGAAGTCCCCTGGTTTCCCGATTTCATTTTGCTCCCAATTCTGTTTTATTTCATTTAATTAATTTCAAGTTTTGTCTTTATTTCATAATTTTCCATTTTATTTTCTACTACTAATTTTTGGTTTATTCGCTTATAGGTCCCTTCAATTTAGTCTTGTTTTTACATTTTGGTCCCTGCTTTAATTCTTCAATCGCATGTTTAATTTTGCATCTATTTCAATTTAGTCATTTTTTATTCATACGATTATTTAATATTTACTCCTCATTTGTTTATGTAAAATTCAATTTAGTCCCTAATGTTAACTGATTTATTTTAATTGCAATCCTCTCTTTTTATTTAATCTATATTTGCAATCATTTTATTAACTTCAATATTTTATTTTCATTTCAGGTCATCTATCATTTGTACTTAACACTTGATGTTAGGGTTAGACAACATTAGTTTCTAGAATTTAGAACGGTAGTGAATCCTATCCGTGTTTATATTATGCTTCTAGATTAAAGAAACACGTCATACATATTCAATACTTTCATCACATTATTTCAAACACGATATGTTCTCGAATTAATTGGACATTCATTATCTTTCTAGATATTGGAGGATTTCAAGGTTATTTAGTGAGAGAACATATCTTTGATTTTCCATGAAAACAAACATCATAGGAATTTTCGGACTTTGATGATGAATATTTCTAGATTTTCTTAGACGTTCTAAAATTTAGAGGTAAGAGGTTGTAAGTTCCGAATTTTGGCATGATCCAAAATCGAGGTGCCTTCTTGATGTGATTTTAATATGAATTGATGACACCAATGAAAGACTTCACCCCCAAAATTTTGTTAGATTAATTTGTGAATTTTTTCCCCGGATTTTCGAGCATAATTTCATTTCTCTTAGCCTTTAGAGAATACAAAGTTATTCTTGAGAAATTAAAATTCCTTATTAATCTAAAAATACATCGATTGCATTAATAGTCGAGATAAAATATTCGTGATCAAGTAAACATCATTTTTACGGGCGTAGTGAGTGTGCTAACCCTTCCTCACACGTAATCGTGCCCCCGAACTCGATCTTTGATTTTTCCCAGACCCCAATTCGATATTTTCATAAAATAAAATATTTTATTACAAGTACCTGATTTTAGGTGTTCCAATCGTACACTTTAAACCGATTGGTGACGACTACCCCAACTTTTCATTAAAAATTCCTCAAACATTTTTTAAAGTAGGAAACCATTCTTCAAATACAAAATATTATTATTTTAATCCCCCGGGGTGAAAAATGGTGCGTACATAGTGTACTTCCATTAACGTGTCTAATTTTACTTGTTAGTCCATTTAGAAGTTCTTGTAATATTGAACCCGTGATCTTTTAAAATTTTAAATTTTTTATCTAATACCTATCATCAATCGCCTAAAGTTGAAAAATTAATTATTTTAAGATTTATTTATTAAATTAAATTTAAACAATAACATAAATTTATACTTTATTATTTTATTATTAATTAATTAATATTATTATATATCTTCAATTTTACATGCAATACTTTTTTATTAAAATAATGAAAATTTAGTTTCCAATCAGAAAATCCCTCAATACACTATAATCTTAAACGAAAATAAATAAATAAAAGTATTTTAAAATATTGATTTCATTTCGTTTCATACATATATTAATTTATTTTGTTTCTATGAAAAAGGTAGCCGAAACAAGAAACCGAAAGTAAAATGCTAGCATGAAAGATTAGGTCCAGGATCGACACCGAGCTGGGTACAATATTGTGTGTAGTAGTTAATCAGAGCCTGTGCCGTAGCCGGATTCCCTCCATCGCAGTCGATATCCCGTTAACGGCTCGAATCGTTGGCCCGAACTCTCAGCATATCACCGGTTGAACAAAGTTCACCCAATACCATAAGGCCGTCTTGAACGAGATAAGAGAGGGTCCATGACCACGGTTTTGGGTGAGTTTATTCCGTCGAACCCGATGCTCTCTCTGACCGGTATGTAGTTGTAGTTCCACGTTAGTTGGAGCGGACCGCGACCGTAGTAGCTTTTGTCGGGGTTGCATGGATAGTTGATCGGATCACAATACTGATTGTTGGGGAAGCTTGGACCTCCTATCTCTTCTATGTAGCAAAGATCTATATAAAACAAAAACTTTCGTTACATCCGTAATCGTAACAAACATAATATTATTCGATACATGTATGTCTCGATCGTAATTTTAAGTTTATAAGAGGAAGAGAGGGATCATACGTTCGGTTTTACGGATGACATGAGCAAAGAAAGGTAGAATATCTATACCACAAGCTGAACCAAATTGAGGAAAAGAACTGAGAGCCTGAAGAAATGCATCCATTGTATAAAAGTTCTTGCCTTCACAACTTGGATCTATCTGATTAAAAATCTCGCATAAAAACTCATCTATCACGTTATCAGCTATGGTCGTAATTGTCACCGATCCGACCACAAAAATGGTCAGCAGACATTTAAGCATTCTTGAAGGAGATTTTTTTTTGCTATAGGAAATGTTAGTTGACATTATGTTTGATGTGGAAAAATGTTAAACGGTTCAGAGTTAATTATATAGCTCGGATCAAGAGGAGAGTTAATGTCAATTAAAATAAAAGTGATATTTCTTGTCAATACATTATAATCTTAATCAACTTGAAATTGTCAAATATTGAAATCGAAGATTTATGCACGAATGAAACAACTTCGATGATAAATGAATTGTTGATATTTCTTGAGCTTTTGTGTTCGAGCACAAAAAATATTAGGGGTATGAGCGTTTAATGTCAATTGATTAAAAGTTATTTTTTAACTGATACTGCCTTATACTTACATCAGATTATCAAAAAAATCGAAGACTTATCAATTATAATGATCGTCTTAAATATATTTTCATTGAGTTTTTATTTAAATAAGCGTGTTAGATAAATTATTATTTTTATTTTATTGAAAAAAATTAACGTTTAACTTTTAACTGGTTTGATCATCATTTCAAAAATCTATTTGATTTAACCGGTCGAGTGGTCGAAGATATTCATGTTGTCTAAGATAGTTTCGAACCCCGACATTTACCTAGAAAATATAATATCTCTATTTAATTAAAAAATTACTTGATATAATACTTTGAAAATGTTAAATAGGATTGAACCATTTAACGGAGGATATTTGAAGTCCTGATCTGGACAAAAAAATTCATTTAAGACTAAAGTGAAAAAAGTAGACTTTAAGGATTAAATCAACCATTAAACCATTAGAAAAATACAATTGACTTGTATCAAATACGGTCTAATTGTGATGCTGGAGAAGTAATTTTATTCTATTGAGAAATTGGATATAAATAATTATAGCATGTCAATTTATTTATTTATTTATTTTCTAGCATGAAAGATTAGGTCCAGGATCAACCCCAAGCTGATTACAATACTGTGTATAGTAGTTAATCCGAGCTTGAACCGCTGCCGGATTCCCACCGTCGCACTCAATGGCCCCGTTAATGGCTCGAGTCGTCGCCCCAAACCCTTGCCCTATGACCGGTTGAACAGAGTTCACCCAATACCATAAGGCCGTCTTGAAGGAGACAAGAGGGTCATTGGCCACCGTTTCGGGCGAATTTAGTCCGTCGAACCCGATGCTCTCCCCGGCTGGTCCATAGTTAAAGTTCCACGATAATTGGATCGGACCACGACCGTAGTAGCTTCTGTTCGGGTTGCATGGATATTGGGTGTTGTTCGGATCACAATACTGACGGTTGGGAAAGCTTGGACCGGCTATCTCTTCTATGTAACAAAAATCTGTACCGAACATTAACATCCGTTATATATATGATCTTAATAAACACAATATACTACTCGAAAAATGTCCAGTAACTTATACGTATCGATCGTAATTTATAGGAGGAAGAGAGAGAGAAAGACCATACGTCCGGTTTCATGCGTGACATGAGCGAAGAAAGCCGCAACCTCACGCCTAGTATCGTCGACCGTACCGAATCGAGGAAACGAACCGAGAGCCTCAACAAATACAGCCCTCGAGTAAAAGTTCCTCCCTTCACAACCTGCATCTGATTGACCAATTATGTCATTAAAGAACTCATCTGTCACGATATCGGCCACCGTCTGAGCCTCTACCGACACCGATCCGACGAGAACCCCGACCACAAAAATGGTCAGCAGGCCCTTCAACATAGGGGGGAATAACATTTTTGTAATATCAAACGTTGATTGAACTAGGTTTTGGTGTGGGGGAAAAGGGTAGATAATTGACAGCTACCTTGTTGCTGGCGTCGAGGCGAGCAAACCTTGAAGTTTTGGTGGTCAATTGCAACCGGAAGTGGTGATCGACGCGGCGTCTGGCGACGGTGATGACGGTGTAGCGGCCACCGAAACTCCCAGTCTAGAGATAAGGAAGAGGGAATCGGGGTAGAGAGAGAAGAGAGTATGCAAAAATGAAAAAAAGGAAAAAAAGGATATTTATAGACATGACAAAACGGTGTCGTTTTGGCACCGCCCAAACGTCGTAAAACGACGTCGTTTTGATTCCTTCCTCTATGTGTGCGTTTTGTCCTTTAAGGTCTAATCACGAGGGAAGTCCCCTGGTTTCCCCAATTTCATTTTTCCCAATTCTGTTTATTTTTATTTACTTTCAAGTTTTGTCTTTATTTCATAATTTTCCATTTTATTTTCTCTACTAATTTTTGGTTTATTCGCTTATAGGTCCCTTCAATTTAGTCTTGTTTTTACATTTTGGTCCCTGCTTTAATTCTTCAATCGCATGTTTAATTTTGCATCTATTTCAATTTAGTCATTTTTTATTCATACGATTATTTAATATTTACTCCTCATTTGTTTATGTAAAATTCAATTTAGTCCCTAATGTTAACTGATTTATTTTAATTGCAATCCACTCTTTTTATTTAATCTATATTTGCAATCATTTTATTAACTTCAATATTTTATTTTCATTTCAGGTCATCTATCATTTGTACTTAACACTTGATGTTAGGGTTAGACAACATTAGTTTCTAGAATTTAGAACGGTAGTGAATCCTATCCGTGTTTATATTATGCTTCTAGATTAAAGAAACACGTCATACATATTCAATACTTTCATCACATTATTTCAAACACGATATGTTCTCGAATTAATTGGACATTCATTATCTTTCTAGATATTGGAGGATTTCAAGGTTATTTAGTGAGAGAACATATCTTTGATTTTCCATAAAAACAAACATCATAGGAATTTTCGGACTTTGATGATGAATATTTCTAAATTTTCTTAGACGTTCTAAAATTTAGAGGTATTTTAAAGAGTTGTAAGTTCCGAATTTTGGCATGATCCATGAAAATCGAGGTGTCTTCTTGAATGTGATTAAATTACAATATTCTTCTAGACGTTGGGAATGTTGATAATCACCCATGAAAGACTTCACCCCCAAAATTTTGTTAGATTAATTTGTGAATTTTTTCCCCGGATTTTCGAGCATAATTTCATTTCTCTTAGCCTTTAGAGAATACAAAGTTATTCTTGAGAAATTAAAATTCCTTATTAAAATTCCAAGCTTCCCCAACAATCAGTATTGTGATCCGACCAACTATCCATGCAACCCCGACAAAAGCTACTACGGTCGCGGTCCGCTCCAACTAACGTGGAACTACAACTACATACCGGTCAGAGAGAGCATCGGGTTCGACGGAATAAACTCACCCAAAACCGTGGACATGAAATATCACTTTTATTTTAATTGACATTAACTCTCCTCTTGATCCGAGCTATATAATTAACTCTGAACCGTTTAACATTTTTCCCCATCAAACATAATGTCAACTAACATTTTCTATAGCAAAAAAAAAAATCTCCTTCAAGAATGCTTAAATGTATGCTGACCATTTTTGTGGTCCGACCAACTATCCATGCAACCCCGACAAACATAATATTATTCGATACATGTATGTCTCGATCGTAATTTTAAGTTTATAAGAGGAAGAGAGGGATCATACGTTCGGTTTTACGGATGACATGAACAAAGAAAAGGTAGAATATCTATACCACAAGCTGAACCAAATTGAGGAAAAGAACTGAGAGCCTGAAGAAATGCATCCTTTGTATAAAAGTTCTTGCCTTCACAACTTGGATCTATCTGATTAAAAATCTCGCATAAAAACTCATCTATCACGTTATCAGCTATGGTCGTAATCGTCACCGATCCGACCACAAAAATGGTCAGCATACATTTAAGCATTCTTGAAGGAGATTTTTTTTTGCTATAGGAAATGTTAGTTGACATTATGTTTGATGTGGAAAAATGTTAAACGGTTCAGAGTTAATTATATAGCTCGGATCAAGAGGAGAGTTAATGTCAATTAAAATAAAAGTGATATTTCTTGTCAATACATTATAATCTTAATCAACTTGAAATTGTCAAATATTGAAATCGAAGATTTATGCACGAATGAAACAACTTCGATGATAAAGGAATTGTTGATATTTCTTGAGCTTTTGTGTTCGAGCACAAAAAATATTAGGGGTATGAGCGTTTAATGTCAATTGATTAAAAGTTATTTTTTAACTGATACTGCCTTATACTTACATCAGATTATCAAAAAAATCGAAGACTTATCAATTATAATGATCGTCTTAAATATATTTTCATTGAGTTTTTATTTAAATAAGCGTGTTAGATAAATTATTATTTTTATTTTATTGAAAAAAATTAACGTTTAACTTTTAACTGGTTGGATCATCATTTCAAAAATCTATTTGATTTAACCGGTCGAGTGGTCAAGATATTCATGTTGTCTAAGATAGTTTCGAACCCCGACATTTACCTAGAAAATATAATATCTCTATTAATTAAAAATTACTTGATAATACTTTGAAAATGTTAAATAGGATGAACATTTAACGGAGGATATTTGAAGTCCTGATCTGGACAAAAAAATTTTTAGACTAAAGTGAAAAAAGTAGACTTTAAGGATCAAATCAACCATTAAACCATTAGAAAAATACAATTGACTTGTATCAAATACGGTCTAATTGTGATGCTGGATAAGTAATTTTATTCTATTGAGAAATTGGATATAAATAATTATAGCATGTCAATTTATTTATTTATTTATTTTCTAGCATGAAAGATTAGGTCCAGGATCAACCCCAAGCTGGTTACAATACTGTGTATAGTAGTTAATCCGAGCTTGAACCGCTGCCGGATTCCCACCGTCGCACTCAATGGCCCCGTTAATGGCTCGAGTCGTCGCCCCAAACCCTTGCCCTATGACCGGTTGAACAGAGTTCACCCAATACCACAAGGCCGTCTTGAAGGAGACAAGAGGGTCATTGGCCACCGTTTCGGGCGAATTTAGTCCGTCGAACCCGATGCTCTCCCCGGCTGGTCCATAGTTAAAGTTCCAGGATAATTGGATCGGACCACGACCGTAGTAGCTTCTGTTCGGGTTGCATGGATATTGGGTTGTCGGATCACAATACTGACTGTTGGGAAAGTTTGGACCGGCTATCTCTCTATGTAACAAAAATCTATACCAAACAATAACTCGTTATATAAGTGATCTTAATAAACACAATAGACTACTCGAAAAATGTCCAGTAACATATACATATCGATCGCAATTATAGGAGAAAGAAGAGAAAAAGATCATACACCCGGTTTCATGTGTGACATGAGCGAAGAAAGCCGCAACCTCACGCCTAGTATCGTCGGCCGTACCGAATCGAGGAAACGAACCGAGAGCCTCAACAAATACAGCCCTTGAGTAAAAGTTCCTCCCTTCACAACCTGCATCTGATTGACCAATTATGCCATTAAAGAACTCATCTGTCACGATATCAGCCACCGTCTGAGCTTCTACCGACACCGATCCGACGAGAACCCCGACCATAAAAATGGTTAGCAGGCCCTTCAACATAGGGGGGAATAACATTTTTGTAATATCAAACGTTGATTGAACTAGGTTTTGGTGTGGGGGAAAAGGGTAGATAATTGACAGCTATTTATAGCTCAACAAAAGTGTATCGAGAAGCTTTGTTATTTGAAATTGTCAATGTTGACATGCAGGGCATAAATTCAAATAGCTAAAGGTTAGACTTTTCGAATCTGTTAAAACTTATTTCTAGATTGTACATAATTCAACCTTTGAATTTTAGTAATTGGAGGAATGACTGCAAAATCAACCCTAAAAAGAACATAATAAAGGGTAAACTACGCATTTAGTATTTAAGTTATCAGTTTTGTTTCATTTTAGTACCTAAACTTTCGATTTTTTTAAAATCATACCTGAAATTTAGCTTTTGTTTCATTCTAGTACCCATGCTCAAAATTTAACATTAAATTATAAAATAAATTGAAAGTTTAGGTACTAAAATAAACCAAAACTGATAGTTTAGGTACTAAACACATTAAGTTTTTAATCACCGCAATACATGATTCAAACCAATCATAGCACATAGAAAAGGTACAAAATTAAATCGAATCCGGAAAGAGGAACCTAAATCAGAGAAATTAAGCTATACTTCGTATAAGTTTATAATTCGAAAATATAAAACAGTTCAGTTGATCCAAAAGGCAATTTACATACCCATGAAACCAGCTGGTTAGGCCTTATCGGTTCTAACCTTCCCATCTACCATAACATGCCTTTGCATAAGAATAGCAATCACTTCTCTATATGTCAGAGCATACTTCAATCTGTTTCGCAGAATGAGTATTGACGGCAAGCATTCCCTGGATTTGTGAGGTCCAGACGATGGCTTCGGTGCCTGCATGAACAAAGAAATTATAAGAAAAAAATTAAAGGCAGTGGCATTGAAATGTTAAGAAAGCAAAAAGGTCTGACACTATAACATACAAATGCACCACCGAGCTTATCGAGCATCCAATGGCTGGGAGCATTGAGCATCTTCAAATGTTTCTTCAACCCTCTCGCCTGCACCAGATAAGAGAAAACATACGATTAAATAAAGCCAGAATGCATATTTTTTGAAGCGCGAGAAATTTCACAACAGAGAAAACGAAACCACCGAAATGCAATATGGATTCCACACATTCAAAACTAAATCAGAGACGAACATTATCATAAAGCAGACAGAAAAGAACATCACATGATCTCAAACCCACAATAAAACAATCATTTGATCTTTACATTGTCTCCATCAACGTGGAACGCAATGCAGATTCCACACATCAAAAAACTAAATCATGGATAAACATA